TCGAAGCAATACTGGGCCCCTATGGAAGCTATTCCTAAAATAAGCTCCAAGGAATGATCAAGGACATTCCATGTACGGCAGTGGATAAATGGCATGTGGGAATGAAAGCCTTCAAACCAGGATGTAATATATCTGGTCAGGGCATGACGCGAGGGCATTCTAAATGCTGGATCCAACACATCGGAGAACGAATCAAGGCATGCCTTGAGTCCGGCTCTTTGCTCATCGGTAATTTTAAAGCGTTGAGTTTCAGGGTCAACAGCTCGAGGATCTACATACGAGAAACTCAGTTAATGTTTTGGATGCTCAGGTGCCTACAGCGGGGTCACGTACTGTTTTCTGAAGCGTAATTCGTTATCCTATTTCCAGTTGGAGCTGACGGCAACCAGGAGCTAAATGGGGTCCCTGCCCTCTGCCTCGGTCGAGGAGATGGCGACTCTGAAACAAATGGTCGCAAGTCCGAGTCAACCACTTCATTATCGTTGTCTTTTTCTGGGCCGTTGAAGTATGGACTCCATTCGGCTGGCAATCCCACGCCATCTAAAAAGTTGGCAAATTCTCGGAAATGCGGATCGAAATGGATGGAGTCGCCGAGCACTTGACAACTCATATCCTCTGGGCCAGGCGGCTCACCAGCGCCAAACAACCTCGGTGAAAGCAGCTCCTGGGGATATTGTGTTCGATTGTCAACATTCCTGCCATCTCGGCTATCAAGTTGCAAAGGCAACGTCCCGGGTTGAATTTGTTGATTTGCCCAAGGGTCTGTACTGAGGCCAGAAAGTGAGACAGCAGCAGCGAGGTCTGCCTCTGCAGCTTGAGTCGTGGGGGAGTTCTCTGTGGGTGAGTTGCCTTCGTGAAAACTTATCCGCCGATGACGAACAAGCAGATCTTTTCGAGCGAATGCAGCACCGCAATGACAGACAAAGGGCTTCTCTTTGGTGTCTTCAATTTATCAAGTGAGGAGGCACTATTAGCTTCGATTAAAGATATTGCAACCAATAAGCCAAAGCCACTTACGAGTACGAACATGACGCTCCAGATGCTCAGTCCGCTTGAACGTCCTCCCACAATGGGGACACTCACGCACCACCTTGCCCCCGCTCCCTGCGAAGCCCCTGTCTACCCCTTCCGTTTCAGCAAAGGTCCTTCTTCGTTTATGGCTTTGGGCATTCGAATGCCCACTTGGCTGGCTCTGAGGGTAGGCATCGAACGCGCTGTGGGGCAGCATTCTCGTTTGTCGAAATTGAGAGGTTTGGGGAATGAAGGGGTTGGGGGCGTTGGGGTCATAATGAATGGAGCAGTGCCCTACATATGAGACATTTACCTAATCCAATGACTCGTGATGCCCTTCATACTTTCCCCTAAGAGACTTGGTCCCAGTTTGTTATCAGCTACGACCCCAACCTCCACCACAAGTCCCCACAGAGCCCGGCAGTTTGATGCCGTTGATAGGCTGGTAACTGGGGTAGACTGAGGAAATTTGGGGTCACTCCCGCACGTAATGATTAGCCCGTCGGTCTAGGGTGAAATAGAGACCTGGTGATTGGGCTAAGGGCATCACATCATCACTGAGGCTTTGCTGACTGCACGATCAACGCTCCATTAACACAAACAGAAATCGAAAATGGCATCGTTGACCAGGTTTCCAGGGGTGGCATTGATCACTGGCGCGGGTGGCACAGGTGAGATAGAGCATCTTGATAGATAGTAATTACTTCCCATGTCTGTTGGGCTTGCAAAACTAATGGATGCGTCTGATCAGGCATCGGAGCCGCTGTTGCAAAGGCGTTTGCTACGTCCGGATGCTCACGTTTTGCCATTACCGATATCAATGAAACGACACTCGCCAAGACTCGTCAGGCCATATCAGAAATAAACCCCCAAGCGAAAATATGCTCAGCAGAAGGCGACATATCCGATCCCGGGTTCGTCGAGTCCTTTCTACAGAAAGCGGCACAGACTTTCCAGCGCGTTGATTATTCGGTCCACTGCGCTGGAATTCTAGGAACGGCCCAGAGATCACATGAAACGGCAGTCAAAGACTTCGATCGAATCAACAATATCAATTACAAAGGCACCTGGTTGGTGTCCCGCGCGGCGATTTCCCAGATGATACAGCAAGACCCATTGGCCGAGCATCCAAAACAAAGAGGAGCGATTGTGAATATCGCAAGCCAACTGGGAATAGTGGCCAGGCCAGGAGCAGGTAAAGTTTTCTCATGCTCTGTGTGTCGAAGAAGTTCACAGGCTAATGGTTGCGTTTCGACAGCCCCTTATTGCGCTTCTAAAGCCGCCATAATCAACATGACAAAGTCCGACGCGATCGATTATTCCTGTGACGACATCCGGGTCAATTGTGTGTGTCCAGGAGTCATTGCGACCCCGATGACAACTGGTAGCAGAGAAGTGGAAGAACGATTAAGGCCTGCAGTCGAGATCGCCCCGATGAAGAGAATGGGTACGCCGGAAGAAGTGGCAGACGCTGTGTTATTTCTTTGTTCCTCGCAAGCATCTTTCGTTCAGGGCCACGCACTGGTTGTCGATGGAGGCTATACAATTAATTGAAACCACAGTATTCCTCGTTCTGAAATATGTTGAATCTAACTTACACTTTGTAAACTACCTTTATTAGAATGTAAGATTATGCCTTGCTCAAGATGATCGAATCCAACAAAGAAACACATGTAGAATGATGCCCACTCCTAGACTTAACCACAGATTCATCTAATTATGCTTTCTTTAATTTGTTTATCTTAACATAACTAAGCGACCATCTTGATTTGTCCCAACTCTAACTGGGGCTTGATGTCTACCGTATTTCCAACTCCAAGTTCCTTCCTGCTAAGCATATCACCACCCCATTGAGCAACTTCAGAAGTCTCGTCAGTCGAGCTCGAGCTGAGATTCCTCTTAGAGGCAGATTTCCAATCAAAATTCTGCTCCAAAGCATGTGCAACTTTCAACACTGCTTTCTCCTGCCATAAACCTCCCACAATTTGCAAGCCGACAGGCAGCAACAAATGCTCGTCGTCTGGTGCGGCAGCAAGACCAACTGGCAATGACAATGCCGGATGCCCTGTGACATTGAAAATCGCTGTGTTTGTGGTCATACCTATACTAGGCTCAAATGACCCCAACACTGAGTCTCTATCTCCATGTCGAGGAGCGACAAATGGGGTTGTTGGCATGACAATCACGTCATATTTCTTGAATGCCGATTCATATGCATCTTTTATTTGCCGGCCGATGTTGACAGTCTTTCCGTAAAGACCAGGGAAATTCTTCATAAGATAGATGCCGTTGATTATTGTGTTTTTCGTTGACGGAAAGAGCCGGTCGAAGTTGGGAGCAGTCCAGGGGAGGCGAGCGTGTTCGAATTCGGTCAGATAAAGACCACGACGGCCATTGGCGTTGCCAAGGATGCCGGATGCTCCAGATATGCGCTGCTGGATTGTCCATATTGATCCACCTTCTTTGTGCAAAGGGATAGATACTTCTTCAATCTGAGCCCCTAGCATCGAAAGCTTTTCGACGGCGTCTAGGAATCTGGCCTTGACACCAGGCTGTACGAGATCATTTTGGTAACCCTCGACCAGAACGCCAACCCTGACTCCATCAATCTTCCCATCAGTATCCTTTAGTGATTTGGAAAACTGAAAGGAGGAATGCGGTGCAGAACCTAAGGACCTGTCATCTATACCGTCATAGCCCGCCATGGCATCGAGACTAGCTGCCACCTCCGAGACCGACCGGGCAAGAGGGCCAGCGTGGTCGTCAATCTGGTCTCCACTAGTAATACCGGTGTATGGTATGAGTCCATGGGTAGGCTTCAACCCGACAATGCCACAAAGCGACGCTGGGACCCGAATGCTTCCACCCTGATCGGTGCCTATCGCGATATCCACGATACCTCCAGCCACCAGAGCTGCCCCTCCTGAAGTGCTCCCTCCAGCAGAATATCCCTGCTGGTATGGGTTTTCGACTGTGCCCTGAGCACTGGTGAAAGAGGCTGTCGAGTTGCAGAAATGCTCGCAAGTAGCCGTGCCAACGATATCTGCCCCAGCGTCCAGCATCCGTGTTACCACAGTTGCGTCGGTGCTTGGATTCCATGCTGGGAACGCATCACTTCCAAAGAATTGAGGAACACCAGCGACCGCAATGCAGTCTTTGATACAAACAGATTTCCCTCGCAGCTCTGACGCCGTCGATTGGCTTCCCTTTATTAGAAATCGATGAGCCCACGCGTGACCAAATGCTTGTTCTTTTTCAGAAGGGCGAGTTAAGTCGAGCCGGGGATAACGATCGAGGTCGGGAGAGGGTTGGTAGTCCGGAAGCTGTAAGACATGCTCAGCGCAGTCGTGAACGGCGGCTAGAAGAGTCTGGTAGTCTCGAGACTCTCCTTCCTTGACTGTTACGCCAAGCGGTTCAAGTATTCTCTCGACATCCCCTTGGCGGATGGGATTATCTCTATTGGCAGTTGTTAGAGGTGTGATCAAATATCTGCAAACTAAATTTCCAAACCGCTCAAGCTTACGTAGATATTTCTTTGAAAAAGACAGACATTGCGATTTGTCCAGTGTTCCCACACTGTCTGGCGCGTTTCGTACGTTGGAGTGGAATCTGATAAGGAACCTTTTCTTAAGCCAGTATCACTAGATCCAAGGCGTCAGATAAACTTTCTATTTGGTTTATTAACGGCGGTACTAGAAAATTGCTTACAAATTTGCTGGATGCAATAATCAGGGGAAGCAGAGCTGGTGAGTTGGGGTTGAGGTGCCACTGGCTGATGTCACATTGGGGTCAAATCGGGGTCTTGGGGTAGACCCATTTGTCCAACAACCCTTGTGCCCTGTTCAATTACGATATCAAAATTCAATTCGGAATGTCCCTCGGTGCCTTGATTGGCATAGATTGGCCTAGAGTCAGGTATTACGGTTTTCCTATGGGGATTTCAAAGAGGATTTGGTCTCCGTGTTTCCGAGCAATGTAATAATATGTTACTATTCTACAAATCTAACGATCAATCGTCCTTGGAAAGATACATCCTCGTACTTTTCGATAATCGAAGGCATATCCTGGTAAGGAATTACCGTTAGGCTTGAACTTACCCGTGCCGATTCAACCACTTTCATCATGCGTTCAGTAGCCTCCTTACTCGCTACATAGCTTCCCCTAATGGACAGTTCCTTGAATACAATTAAGTCAGCATCAAACTGCCACGGCTGAGGAGGGAGACCCAATAGTCCCAAGGTCCCTCCAGTTCTCAGAAGCTTGAGTGCCCATCGATTTGCAGCAACAGAGTCAGTGCATACTACTGCTGCCGCGACCCCTTCTCCATTGGTCAAGTCGTAAATAGCTTTCGCAGCGTCATCTGGGACTGATGAGTCGACCACGAGATCAGGCTGAAGATCAGGGTTTTTGACCTGCCGGGCCAGTTCACATCCGGCAGGTCGATTATCCACCGCGATTGTGCGGAAGCCCAGTGCCTTTGCAAATTGAATACCCAGATGACCCAGACCCCCAATACCAATTATAGCAACGACTTCTCCAGGCTCGAGTCCCTGCGTCGTCCGCTCTATTGATCCCCAGACAGTTGCGCCGGCGCACATCAGCGGCGCGGCCTGCTCAAAGGGAACAGAGTCCGGGAGCTTTACCACAGTGGCCGGATCTGCCACAATGTAGTCCGCAAACACGCCGTCGTGCTGGAATCCCGCCGTTTCCCGGACCTCACAGAATCGAGGGTCCAGGCGCTTCGACGTACGAAGCGTCAGCTTACATCCGGCGCAATCCCCACAGGCATGCTTGAAGTTGAGCGCGCCAACCCGATCTCCGACCTTTAAATCCCCATTGTAGGTTGGGCCCAGCTCCGCTATCACTCCGGCCGGCTCGTGAGATGGGACGAGTCCTAGAGGGGAATTGAATTGTCCTTGCCAAGCTTGATGGTCTGAGTGACAGAAGCCTGCTGCGTGTATTCGCACAAGGACGTCCCCTGCTTCGAGTGCCGGCCGTGGTCGTTCGCCGAGGGCGTATGGCTCGTTGAACTATCCTTCAAATCAATGTCATGAACATGACGTAAAGCGGCGTACTTCACAAACCTGAGATATGTAGGCAACCCTCATTGATGAAGAAGGCTTTTGAGTCATGCTGAATGCTAAGGCTTTGCTAACGAAGTGGTAGCGATAACTCTATCATGGGCAAACGCAGGGGAGGGATGATTATTGACAGAATCTAGATTCAGCTTCCTCGCACTGGTGATGCCGATTTCGCCACTGCTATTGTATACAAGGTTCACTGAGTTGGAGTCTCTGGAGACCCTTCAGGAAAGATCGACATCCTGTGCCCCAACATTGGAGTGGGAATTACGCACCACTTGGGAGTCGCCCGCATGTCAATGCAACATTCTTATCTGGGGAAGCCCCTCCTAAAGATAACAAGTGCTTAATTTTGCTAAACTTGAGGAGACTATGACCCCAGGCTCAACCTACCATCAGGCGATGATCAGCAACCTCGTGGGGTAAGTAGCTGACGACGACCCCAAATGGGGTCAATGTGACTGGAACGCTAAGAATGCGACCCTTTGGCCATGACTCGAATCAATTCTAGAACAGGGCGAGACTGTTGTTTAATTTCAGCTATTACCCCGCCATTGCGTCTGCTGCCACTTTCGTCACATCGGCGTTCCTCCAGCCACATTATTCTGATAAACTCCTAACCAAACTCAATCGAGTCCAATCCAGAAAACACACCATGGGCAAGAAGCGCGTTCTCGTAAGCTACGGAGTCGACGTCGATGCCGTGTCAGGCTGGCTTGGCTCGTACGGAGGCGAAGATTCCTCAAACGACATCAGTCGAGGTGAGTATCATAATCCCCTGTGTCGCTTCTAGGTCACAAATATGGGCATATTTGCGTTCTCCTAACTAAGACACTAATCGTTATCGGTGAAGGGTATTTCGCTGGAACGATTGGAACTCGGAGAGTGCTAAAATTCTTGGCAAAATATGATATCAAGGCGACTTGGTTTATTCCGGGCCATTCTTTGGAGACGTTCCCGGAGGACATGGCAGCTGTCCGCGATGCCGGTCACGAAATCGGTATGTGCCTACATAATCCGACAAACTCGAGAACGCTCATTGCTCACGATGTATGAAGGACTACACGGATACTCGCACGAAAACCCCACCGATATGACCATCGACCAACAGCGCGAGGTTCTAGACAAGACATACCGTATGCTCACTGAGTTTGCCGGGAAACCACCTCGTGGGAGCGTAGCCCCTTGGTAAGAAGGATATCCACGCAGCAAGCAAATCAGTTGTGGGAGCAGGGCATCCTAACCTTTGTGTAGGTGGGAAACGTCGAAAGAGGGCGCACAGCTTCTATTGGACTACGGTATCGAATACGACCACAGCATGAGCCACACCGATTGCGAGGCTTATTATCTGCGAACTGGGGATACTTGGACAAACATTGACTATAAGAAGAAACCCGAAGATTGGATGAAACCGTTGGTCAAGGGGCAGGACACGGGTCTGGTTGAGATCCCTGCTAATTGGTACGTTGTTTAAGAAGTGCATCACCGCGCTTTACTGACTGAATCACAGGTATTTGGATGATCTACCTCCCATGATGTTCATCAAGAATGCACCAAATAGCCACGGATTCGTGAACGCACGTGATGTCGAAGACATATGGAGAGACCACTTTGACTATTTCTACCGTGAATATGGTATATCATTTCCAATTCCCATGGTCTTTATTCAATTCTAACGAATGTGGTAGATGAGTTCATTTTCCCGATGACCATTCATCCTGTAAGAATCTGGCCCATTCATAAATTACAATATCACGTCATATGCTAACGAGCCACTTATAGGATGTTTCCGGGAGACCTCACGCCATATTGATGCACGAAAGGTTAATCGAGCATATGAAGAAACATGAAGGCGTTGAGTTTGTTACAATGGCAGAGATCTGTGATGAATTCAAGAAGAAGAATCCCGCGCCAGCCGGCGCTGTACTTCCTGCACCTCCAGGTGCTATGTTATAGACTACAATCACATTAAATTGAAATTATATCAAAATTCTTCGTATTCCAGTAGATTTCACGTATGTGGGTTGGGTTCATGCAGACAGATGAAGACCAGGAGCATTCGTTGGCCATCAATGGAGGCTATCCGGATCTCAGAACCAATACGCTATGACTGCTACAAAGCTATGTCTCTCGAATGTGATCAAATTAGCACAGCCTTCAATGCAACAATAGTCAATTTGCCGAGTTCCTTTATGATTGTTATCTCAATCACGCCTTCGTATACTCATTCACCTCTCATAACCTTATCAGTAGGAAACGCATGATGAGTGCAACTCTATCCATGGACAAGGCATCTGCTCTTCGTGAACGCCCAGCCAATCACATCAATCACACCAATCAGCCATCACAAGACAAACGACCGTTATCAGGACCCTACGTCTTGAATGTGGGTTTGCGTGGAGTGTACCCCAGAGCCAGGCTGACACTAGACCCCAAGTCTATCGCTGATCAACCCCAACTGGAGCTCCACAATGACCCCAAACCCATCTTTATCGTACCCCATGATTTCTCTGCATCTCTTGGTTTGATTTGAATCATGACATTTTCCATTCGTACAGGGGGCTTCAACCACGTTATCAACCGCCCCAGAATCTCGAAAAAGGTTTAGGCCAACACGGGGTAAAGCTGGTTGTTATCTTTTATGGGGGTAATTGATAGCCTGCTCGTCAACCGGCTGAGAATCTCTCCCAGCCAAACTCTCCATCCACTGGATATATATTCATAACGGGATATCACCCACCATCCATCCAGTGTCTCAGAGGCAACAACGACAACACAAGAACATCAAAACAACATCATCGTTCATTCAACCAAGCATTCGACAATGACAAAATCGGAGAAAGCTGACACGATCACCCCGGCACCTGCCCGGAGTAGTGATAGCATTGACAACGGCAAAGTGGACCAAGATGACGCTTTCGAAGTTTTCAAGCGAAGCGAGGGCACAGTTGACTTCAGAACGGTGACCTGGGTTCATGCTTCAGTCATCTTTCTCAAAGGCAAGTACACCACAGTTCTCTCGTTGTCCGGTACTAACATCGTCAACAGTCATCTTCGCCACCGGTGTGCTGACTATTCCGTCTGCCATGTACGTCCTGGGGGCCCTTCCAGGTGCTATCAACGTCCTGGGCTGGCAATTTCTGAACACGTACTGCGCCATCGTTCAGGGCAACTTCCGCAACAATCATGCTGGCTGCCACTCCATTGCAGACATGGCTCAGGTTGTTGGAGGCAACTGGCTCAAAGAGGTTGTCGGCGTCTTGTTCCTCGTCACATATGCCATTGTCGGTGCCTCTGGTGTCTTTGGCACTTCCGTCGCGTTGAACGCTCTATCCAGCCATGCCATCTGCACCAACTATTTCATGGCGGTCGCCACAATCTCCGTCTTCATCCTCGCCAGCGCACGCAAGTTCGAGAAGATTGCCTGGCTGACCTGGATTGGATTCTTCTCCGTCTATATTGCAGTCTTCATCGTTGTGTAAGTTACCTTCCTTCGTATGATATCTTCAAAGCTGACCGATCTAGTGTCGGTGTAACAACCCGTGACCGGCCCGCGACAGCTCCTCAAACAGGAGACTTCGAACTCGGATACCATGTCATCGGTAACCCAACATTTGTGACTGGAATCACCTCTGTGGCCACAATCTTCTGCTCTGGTGCCGGTACTTCCGCTTTCCTGCCCGTCATCTCCGAAATGCGCAAGCCCCGAGACTACAACAAGGCCGTTTACCTCTGCATGTCCATTGTTACCGCCTCCTATCTCACCTTCTCTCTCGTGGTATACCGCTGGTGTGGTCAGTGGGTTGCCTCCCCGTCTCTTGGAAGCGCTGGTGATACTCTCAAGAAGGTGGCTTACGGCATCGGTCTGATGGGACTTCTCGTCAGCGCCTGTCTGTACGTCCACGTCGCTGCCAAATACCTCTTTGTTCGCATTCTTCGCAACTCGGAGCATCTGCAGAAGAACAGCTTGGTGCATTGGTCTGTCTGGCTCGGCTGCACTCTGAGCATGTCCATCGTTTCTTTCCTCCTGGCATCCGGTGTCCCCATCTTCAACTACCTTCTGGCACTCGCCGGCAGCCTGACCTTTGCCCCTCTGGCTCTTGGACTCCCCGGCTATCTCTGGATCTTCGACCACCAGCACTATCGCAAGGGCAACTGGTGGCAGGTCACCGTCTACTATCTGAACTGGCTCATGATCGGACTCGCCGTCTTCTTGACCATTGGTGGTACTTATGGTGTTGTTCAGAACATCATCGATGCCTATGCCAGCGGGCAGATCGACCGTGCATTCTCATGCGCTGATAACAGCGGCTCTTCCTAGAGAACTCCCACTTTTGTATATCTAACCCGGATTTCCCTCTTGTCAATTCACAATCTATTTAGTTGGACATTTTATCCTCATTAGAATTGAATTAGTTGAAGTTGAAGTTGAGAGATATAGCCCACGCTCAACATGTTGGCCGATGAGCCTTGTGATTGTATGAACACAGGTGTTCAAATTCCATTAATTAGCTTATACAAACAGTTATTCATCTTCTTATTGTGATTTCTCCCTTCTTCAGTAAATTCCAAACTGCAACGCTGTTGCTCGGTCAGAATAGACCAGCAGGCTCTAACCCTTGTACTCGCTTCACCACATGTCAGCAATCTTCGCTCACCCCAGCCCTCCAGGCAGCAGCCAGTAATCAGGTTTCGTGAGTGGCCAATTGCCGAATTCACCAAAGTAAGCACGGCATTCACGATCTTATGAGATATTATCGACGGTTCTTGTGAATACGTTCTAGGAAACTTGAAAACCCCCTTACAGGGAGCAGCAGTGTGAACAGGATCATTTATAAATGTATATATGCCGCTGCGAGCACGGCATTTACACTCCAGACTACATTAAACCATCAAAGACCTTACCTGATTAAATTGGCGACACAAGAACTCGCCTGTCTCAAAATGGAAGCCGATCCGCTCGCAGGAGTCGACCAGGTCCCATGGTCCGAAGTAGATCACGCTTACGGCGAGGCCACTGACCTACCGAAGACTCTCCGCGATCTTCAGTCGCCCGACGAAGACACCCACCAGGGAGCCCTCTACTCTCTGTATGGGAGCATTTGCCACCAGGGCAGCCGGTACACTTCAACTCCCCTCGCGATCCCGTTTCTATACAGGCTCATCGCCAGCCCGGACACGCCCGCTCGAGGAGAACTGCTGCAGTTCATGGCGGCCCTGGCCTTTGGGCTCAACTCGGATGAACTTCCCCTAGGGACTGACATCGCACGCCAGCGCAAGCGCGTGGCTGAGCTTCGAGAAGATCCCAACCGGGTTGGAGTTATTAAAAAGGGACTGGACGAATTTCTCGGTGACGCTTTGGAACGAAACAAGGAGTATCTTGAGTCGTATATCAGATCTCTGCGCGCTTCAGGAGCTCCGGAGGATGAAGCAGGCTGGTGGTCCCCGGAAGTGAGGTCCTACAATGCGGTTCAAAATGGTCTTGATACTGCCTACCGCTGCTTAAAGGACGATTCTGCCGAGGTGCGGACTCCTGCCGCGTATCTGCTTGCCTGGTTCCCGGACAGGTTGACTGATAGCGAGCAACACTTGATGGACATGCTCGACTGTGAACAAACGCCTACAGCCCAAGCGACTGCAGTCATCTCCTTGGCTACTCTACAGGCGATGAAGGGGGATTTCTCCGAGACTCGTATCGTCCGCCGTCTGAGAGATATTCAAGCTCGGAGCAGCTCTTGCCTTGTAACTTGGGCGAGCAGCCTCTCGCTCGTCAAACTTCGGGTCAACACGGAGAAACAGCTCTCGGAGGTTATAAAATTATTCACGGACGAGGATCAGTATCCAGAGCGATTGAAAGAAGAGCTGGAGCAAGGGCAGTTTCCCTTCCTTGATGGTCGGCCAAGTAAGCTCGAGAGTCTAGCCGCGAGGGAGCTGCAGCATTTCAAGGGATCCAAACACCCGGAGATGGTCAAGGTTATCACATCTGCAATCGCATCCAGTCGCGGAATGAATCTCGTCACGCTATCAAGCGCTTTGTTGAATATTGCGTTTGATGGAGTCAAGCCAGATTCTGAACCTGATTTTGACGACCTCAATGATCTCCAGCAAGAAGTGATGCGAGCGCTTAATACTAGCCTCGAGAAACGCGTCGAGTTCGGAAATTTTATGACGGTGCTGGAGTCTTGGAATCTCCCGAACAAGGCAGAGGACTTCGAGGTATTCATCAAGCATCCAGATGCATTCCAAAGCAGGTTATAAATCGCAGAGGTGGAGAGTATTAGTAGATATGAATGAAAAAGCTTTATCAAAATCATCTACAATATTGACCATACTAACACCACGCACCCCTCTGAAACATCTCAGTGTCCTCAGAGTGTAAAGGCCAGCTTTGATAAGATGCCAATACTGTCTGTACTGGTAATCCTGAAGTCTATATTATTAACATGACTATCCTTCAATCTGTGCCGCTCGAGTGGCCCAGCGGCTCATATCTTCCGGTGAGAGCAGGATGCTGAGCAACTGGTTAGTGAAAGAGTCTATCTCAGCGGGTGATGTGTCTTCCATGAGCCCTGGCAAGTTGACGCTCTGCTGAAACAGCGGGTTCTGCTCCCGCACCTGCTGCACCCACCGCCAGGCATTCGGGGCTTCCCACAGGCCTTGCCGGGTGGTGAACATAAGAAAGCCGGAACATCCAGGCCATCCGTTGGTCTTGTCATGATATACATAGAAAGTCCCGGATACCAACATCCAGGTTCGCCGCAGGCTCTCGGATAGAATCCACGCCTGCCAAACTGCGAACTCCGCCCTGCCGCTGCCGCCACCAACATCACTGGATCGCAGCTGCCCCAGTGTTTCATAAAGCCGTGGTGCCTCGGTGAGAGCTGCATCCCTCATCTCCTGACACCATTGATCTAAGGTGCTGAATGCGGCCTCACCTAGAGCACGCTGCTGGGGAGATCCATCAACAAGGCGAATCAGGGTATATATCAGTAATGCCTGGGTCCGAGACAAGTGACTCATGAGGTCCAGCCTTTCAAACCCCTCGAGCATGAGAGACTGTTGTTGGTGGAGACTTGCGGCGCGATTTTCAATTATTCGGAGCACCATGTCTTCCGTCTCCTCGGTCTTAGCCAGGTACGCGGTAAGCGCCGTGTAAGCATCTTCTAAACACGACGGTAGCTCGGACCGATAGAGGTGTTTGTGAATAAAGATGTTGTGGCCGCGCTTCGCCCAGTCTTTCAGCCAGCTACGCATGGCTTTCCTAGACCCCCTGAAAATGAAGGTTGAGTCGGCGGGAGAAGGGATGAATGTAGACTCGATATTCCACGAGTCTTGTGCAAGAAACCATGACAGGTCAGGATCGGCATGCGGAGGATGTATTGCTGATGCGAGAAGCTGGCTTTGAAGGCCGTGCTGGAACACATTGAAGGCTGACTGGAACTGGGCTGTTGAGACTTCTCCAGGCGCCGCCAAAGCCAGAGAACCATTTGGGATAACCCGCTCTGGCCCTACACCAACAGGGGGGTTCGACGGACAAAACTGATCCTGGATCGTCGCCTGTGGGCGCGGTGCCAAGGAGACAGGTCTGTCGCTCCGCCGAGATCTTGGGAAATACTGGCACTCTAGCCCCCTCTCGCCACAGCGCCCGCACTGTGGAATCCGTCTATCACACGCCCGCTTGGCCCTTGTACATGCTCTGCACGCGTTCTGGCGCGGTTTGGAGGCACGATCTACCATATTCCCTGGATCCGGGCCGGGCTGGTCTGGAATATTGAAACGCGTGAGTGAGATACGTGCATTTGCCAGTGTCGTCACAATCCCGGTCGGTGGACTAGCGGCGGGAAATTGGCCAATGAGGAGTTGCAGGATTCGGCTTCACGGCTCGTTTTCACGCTAATCCGCTCAGCTGGAGAGACGATGGATGTGATTCTGAGCTGGCATGTTGACACCAGATATTTCCTCTAGATCCAGGGGTATAAGTAAGACTTCTGCTCTCCTTTCCAGCAGCTATGGCACCCATTCAGATCTAGCTTTTCATTTCAAACTACCACTTACATACTCACATTGAAGCTGCCTGACTGAAAACATGAGCTCCACTCGACTAACACCCCTGCCCATCACCCACAAACAGCCCTACGCCGCTGTCTCTCCGGACCGCCCTGAACTCTCGCAGGCTAGCAAGACTGTCCTCGTCACAGGAGGCGGCTCCGGCATCGGAAGTGCAATCGCAAATAGCTTCGCTCAGGCCGGCGCCTCGACCATCGTCCTCGTTGGCCGTCGCGAAGAGGTCATGCAACTTGCCGCGCAAACGCTGAGAGAAGGATCCGCAAAATCAAACCCCCAACTTCAGGTTCACATTCACACAGTAGACATCACTGACTCCGAAAGCATCGCTAAGCTCTGGGGCTGGCTCGCTGAGAACAACATCGTGGTCGATGTTCTCGTCTTGAATGCTGGGCGCCAGTCCGTGGTCAAGACCGTACTTGAGCTTGGTTCCAAAGAGGTGTTTGAATCTTTTAAGGTCAATGTGTTTGGGCACATGGAATTCACCGAGCGGTTATACAAACAGGATAGAAGCAACTCTTCTGGCCCAGCGGTAAGAAGCTTTAATTACCACCATGCCAAGGCGGGGACTAACGCCATCCGCATAGGTCGTTATCAATGTGTCGACCGCCGCCGCATGGGATCTGAAATCTGGTGGTCCAGTGCCTGTATACTGCCTGACCAAGAACTCAGGCACCATGCTACTGCAGCAAATCGCCCAAGACGTGCCCCGTGAGAAGATGCGCATCATCAGCTTCCATCCAGGCCTTGTCAGGACAGAGACAACAAAGGGACTTTTTCCAAACAGTGGTCCTGGGGAAGCCCCCTGGTATTCATGTAAGTTGAAATATCTACTACCCGTGCATTTCGAGGATGTGGCAACTGATGCAGGCTTCTCTTTAGCTGAACTCCCTGGCAACTTTGCCGTTTGGCTTGCATCCTCTGAGGCCGCTTTTCTCCACGGTCGTTATGTTGAGGCTTCTTGGGATGTGGAGGAATTCAAGTCTGGTAAGATTAAAGAGCAGATTGAGAACGACCCATATCTGCTCAAGGTTGGTATTCTGGGGTGCCACCCTTAACCAAGCTTGCCATACAATATGGATGGTCGGCGTTTCAACTCGAAGATATCGCAGGGCCAAAGCTCAAGTTTACCACCGAAGCATTAAATGGCGGGTTCCTCAAAGGTCGGGAAAAGAATAGCATCTCGTGTCGGCGCCCTCAATGGCGCTGGGTCACAATCTTGTCGAGATAAACGCCATCTAGTGGCTATTTCTCTCGGATAACCATGATAGTTGTTAGTAGGAGGCTCCAATTGACCATGACGCTCTTATGGACGAGCATAAGCGTCGGGCGCAGACCAATTTTGGAATCTTGGTAACGTGATGCCCGCAGCTGGTAGGTAATCAGCTGGGGCGGCCTACCAAAGAGAGCCCTGCTGTCTGAATAATCCAAAGTACTCATTCGAAAGGAACCACCCTGAATGTATTCTCCGTCTTGGAAAGAGGTGTTTGCAATGTTTAAAACAAATGAAGGGAAAATAGCTGAAGATTATCAAGCCTGCACGTGGCAGTTTATGGCACGTGCGTTTCCAAAACTCCAAGGAATCATAACAAACGCGTATGAACTCGTTCTCGCAACGTAGTTCGTGTCCCGTTCATCTAATAAATAAATGAGACGCGTCATTGGAGTTTCTCTCATGGTTTTAGATTGCGAGTTAAGTTAAAGGATAAATCGTCGGGTGTTGGTGACGTTTCCCTAATCGCACTGGTTTACCAAAGTTGAGATTCTTTTCTTAGGACCACAGAACGTCACCTGTTTGAACGATTTAGATCATAAGTGAGAGAATTCTTTCCCAATTTTAACCTTTATATGAAGTTTAAAACTAATTCATATCTACACACGGAAGCGTATACCTCTACCTTGATTTTTCCGCGTTTGTGTTTGACTTTATTAGACATAAGAGTTGGGAGTATAGGGTAGACAACTCTCAAGTGGCTCGGAACATAAACCGGGGAAAGCCCGGTTTTGCAATTCCTGTTGTATTCGGCTCTGAAAAACAACCAAACAGACGAGTCTTCTAGAGAGGGAAATTTCTAGAAACTGCATAACTCCGCTTATATCCTCCAGGCAATCAATCAAGGAGATGGCCTGGCGATTCATTATTAATTATGACGCAATGTGAGCTCCAATCCCGCGGTATTCGATCTTACGGACAAGCCAGGATGTGTGGACGGGAATAACGGAGTGTCGGAATTGTCAGCAGCAACAACGCTTCCCGGAGTCCCGGAGTCACGGAGTTGGGTGAGCTTGAAGTGTTGATTGAGTTCTTCTATATATGCTTCATGAATTACACGGAATTTCAAAAACATCATCCAAACAAACAAACACACTCATCAATTCTCATAGACAGAATAAACTACCCCAATCCCCATCATCATCAATTGCAATGGCCAAGACCGTTCTCATCACCGGAGCCTCAGGCTTCATCGCTACTCACACCATCGATGCCTTCCTCCGCAAGGGCTACAACGTCCGTGGAACCGTTCGCTCTCAAAAGTCCGGGTCCGAGGTGCTAAAGACTCACTTCAAATATCCCGGACAGTTGACTCTTGCCGTTGTGCCGGACATCGCAGCCCCGAATGCGTTTGATGAAGCCGTCAAAGGCGTAGACGGAGTGAGTGCCACAGCCTATTTGCTAGCCAACCTACAACTACTAATAGAGACTGTAGATCATCCACCAAGCATCGCCGTTTATCTTGAATGCCACCGATTTTGAGAAAGAGCTTTTCCAGCCTGCCATCAAGGGCACAACCACGGTTCTTGAATCAGCACAGAAATACAACCCAGACATCACCAGAGTAGTCATTACCTCGTCGTTTGCCTCTGTGGTTGATATTAATCAGGGCCTACGCCCCGGATACACCTATACTGAATCCGACTGGAACCCGGTCACTGCTGAGACGGCTGGAGCCAACGGTGTCGTGGCATATTTGGCCTCCAAGACCTTTGCTGAGCGCGCTGCTTGGGACTATGTCAGAGATAATCAGGTATGTTTACAGGCTTAGAAAGCAAAGCACCACGATGATGATTTGTTGACAGCGGCTAATTATCTGACCAGCCAAACTTTGAGCTTACTACACTGCTGCCACCTATGGTCTATGGTCCCCTTGATCACCACGTCGACGATATGGCTAAGCTAAATACTTCTTCTGCTGATATTTATCGACTCTTCAACGGATCCGAGAAGCAGGTGCCTGACACATCTTTCTGGGCTTTTGCTGATGTCCGCGATCGTAAGGACCCTTGCCTCTTTCGTCTCTTCAAGCCTGTGTCGACTAACATTTTTTACAGTCGCTGAAGCTCACATTCAGGCTTTTGAGAAGCCCGAGGCAGCGGGCCAGAGATATCTCATTGCCAACTCATCATACAGCTACCAGATGATTGTTGATATTATCCGTGGTAAATTCCCCGAACTGCAGGAGAAGACTCCAAAGGGTGACGCTGGCGCTCAGCTCCCACCTGTCTATCAGCTAGATACCTCCAAGGCTACCAACGAGCTCGGCATCGTATTTAGGCCGCTGGAGGAGACAATAGTGGACACTGTAACAAGCTTAATCGCGCTCCAGAAGTCGATCTCATAGGGACGATGACTGCGTTTGGAAGAAGACAAATTCTGGTTTTGCTGCAGCTTTGCGGGAGCTAAGCTTTATATAGATCGACGTGCTACTTTTTTGTATTTGATAGAATAATCTCATTTATATAGTAAGTAATTTGCTGGAAACGTCAAAAACTTTGCTCAGTCGTGACATTTCTCCGAGCTCACCGGGAGAAATTTTATCCTGAAGAAATCCCTGCCATTTATTTTAATCTAGCGCTCATACCACTTATTTCCCACATCGTGGTATTGTCATTATACGATGCTGGCTCCGCTCATAACAACTGTCACACCGGGAAGTCAACACCGGGAAGCTATTTGATACTATCAACATCTATCATGTTCGTTTTACGCCTAGAAACAGCCCAACATCGGTAGTTCACCGTGAGGCAATCCCACCATCAATAAATATTTGTATGTGTTTGTTCTTGAGGGCTGCCCCGAGTCATAGAGATTTGAATCAACAGCGAGAAAGTTAAAGCTTTGAATTGGTAATTTTAGAACCCTTTTATCACATCTTTGGTAGCATTGATTGTTTGTTTCTCATCTGTAACCTCACTGGATCTCTGGAAAGAACTGCGTTGAATCAAACATATGTGGTGATGATTCTTGACTTTGCTTGGGCATTACTACGAGCACCGGGAGCCGGCGAGATGCAGAACTATTGGTCCGATTATTCTGTGTATAGGCCCATGGACTTAGATGCCGACCAAAATTTAATAAAATAAGCACAAATGGAAATTGGCAAACACCTCCTGGCTATGGCCTAAAATCAATATCCAATTCATAGATGAGATACAATGTCCCGCATTATATATGAAGATCTCGATGTAGTTAAAACCTGTAATCATGAGATTAATACGACGTTTCGGTGATCATAGGCTTCGGTCCATAATAACGCTGAGTCGAGGCCTCAGTAATCATGGGCTTTGGCCCAAAATACTGCTGGCCTGATGAATGAGACTGGCTGGATCTTGGATCACGTCGATCCCTGGTCGAGTCGATCACCATCTCTGATGGGCCATAGTAGCTACTCTGGTTCGTAGAAGGCTTCTGCGGCGGGGGCGACGACAACCACCGCGTGTCGTTGTATATCCAAGCATTTCCAATTCTATCCAAGTGTGAATCCGCTGCCGCTTGGCAGTAACCCTCGAGTGAATCTAATCAACGTCAGAGATATCCTGAGGCAGAATTTCTACTCCTGCTTACGTACCAACAGTCATTGGAAGCTTGATATACCCTCCATTGTCCAAAGTAAGGAGGACTTCTTTCACCCACACGCGACAAGTCCATCTCATTTCTCCAAATGGGACATGCCTCGGGTTCATGAGCCGAACGGACTTGGCGCATGCTTCCATAATTTCCATTGATCTCAAAGTAGAGATTTGGAGGCAGGTGACCAATGTCCTGGATTTTCGAGGATCTTTGACCTTCCGTATTTCCAGACGGAGATCCAAGGGCTGGCGGTTAAGATCGGTAGCATGAAGCAATTGACCATTTGGTGGTTCACCGGTCGCCAGAAAGAGCCCCCAATGCTAAGAAGGAACGACTTAATATATTTATTCTTGGAATCAAAGAAGGAGACAGGAGGATCTTACGTATTTGTTCACGCCGTTAACTTTACGGAGCCATTGCATGGTGATGTAGAGACCATAAGGGGAGGTGATGCTGTTAGGAGAAGCAGGCTCTGTAACAGTCAAGTGGTCCATAGCTTCTGATAATTGAACTTGGGTTAAGGACAATGAGAGAATCAGAGGATAATCTGCAGAGTGAAAGAGAGAAAAATGTAAGAAAACAGATGAGCTCAGTAGCGGACAAAGATATAACGGATTGGAGACTTCGGCAGATAATGATGTTGAAACCAGAGAGATGAGAGAAGACAGAGAAGCATAGGTATGAAAATCAACACATCGCAAATATCTCAATTGGAGGATGGCGTTCTTATAGATAGTTTCTGTCTATCTGACATTATCATGATGGCGGACTCCGAGCCTTGGGCAAAATCGCATACTGCAGAGCTCGCCTAGCCCTGGCAGGGTAGCAATTGTAATCACGGTTACGGTGATGCTAGAGACACAATAATAATTGGATAAGACTTGTCGATTGGTAGGGTCGCATAAGCCTGGCCTGCAGATAGTGGAAGCCAACGATCTGGCAAGTGTCATTTTGCCCCCATTCCACCGATCGGCTGCGACCAGCCATAGCAGATGAAGCGTTAACAAGGCGCGTATCAACGATCATGCGGGAGCGAGTTGCATTGAACTCCACATGGCGATGACTGTGATGGATAAGATCTGGGCAACCGCCAGATGCAGATCGAGGTATTAGCGCCTAGGCCATGATGACAACGTGAATTGATTTGTGAGGTGGAGGCTAGTAGTTTCCGGTATGATAATTCAGGCAGCACAGCACCAACAAATCTAATTTAGATACACCAACTTAGGAATAGACCTGTAGGCGCCGACAAGAGTGCATGATGGGTGACAAGATGGTGGGCGGTTAATGAAACGAATGGGAGCCTCGCCCCACCACACGACGCATCTCCCTGGTCTTCAATAGCCGCTGCGGAAAAAGGTGGGACCGGGTTAGAGGCCGCGCGCTTGTTGTTACTATAAACGGAACCGGCGGAGCTATGTTCCGAAAAGCAAGTTGCTGTACTGTGACATTGAAACTCGGGCATAACGCGCCACCTTCCCACTCTGCCCTTATTTATGCCCACGCTGGTCAGCCCATCTCAGCTTGTGCCCATCTGTCGCACGTCAACATTTTACTCATTTCCTCCATTATTCTCAGTATCTTGAGCCCATCTGACATTTCCTATGAATTCTCCTGACGCAGAAGTGAGGAAGGCCGTGTCGCTTGTGGAGGCCCAAAGCCTCTCTCATCCTTCAGAAGCCTTGCTCATCAACTTTGTTAAAGAAGCTTTAAACCCGCGGCTGGCGGCCCAATACCTCATCGACCAGCTAGAGCAGCATCAGCAACCAGCCTCAGAGCTAGCGTCTCACTGGCAGTTCGTAATCGAATCTCGTGAGAATTTGCCTCGCTCGCCCTCTCCCTCATGACACCGCTAATGGAAGAGCTTCCAGTTACCCGTGGACAAAATCCTCCTGCACCCGACCCTGTGTCTCGACTCGCCATTCGGAAACGAGATGGCAATAGGTGTTGCGTGACCGGCAGGCCGGGCTCTCTTCTGGACCCTCTCCTGGTTGTGCCCGTTTTAAAAGTGCCCAATGGCTGGGCTACAACTGATCAGGTAGGTTCAGAATAATTTCCCAAGATACACTGCCAGGTTTACTGATATTCCTCCCAAACGCAAGCCCCAAGTCCTAAGCATGCTTGGAGCCTTTTTTGGAGCTGGCTATAGGGATTGGTGGTTCAGCTATATTAACAATATTGCGCATGTTCCTGTGTTTGATAACCACTGGCTTGTGCGGCAATCTGTGGCGAAAGTATTCGAGAAGGGCTTCATCAAATTAGATCGCCTGCAACCTTCAATGATCGAGGTAAGCTATAACCTCCAGAAATCAAGATTTTACCCTTTCAACTGATTGTTCAATCCCTGCGCAGTACGAACTCAAAGGTGTTGCTGTTGGCCCTGAGGAGCTGCGGCTTAAAATTGATGGACCCTACCCTCTACTTGGCGACCATTCTCGTTCCAGGACTCCTACCGTAGATGCTCGCTTCATCGGCACACACGCCAGGTTTTCCCGCAGTATACGCCTTCTCGACATTGCGTCTACTTTTGCCGCGGCCGAGCCACTGCCGGACCCGGGGAAAGCTATCGCACTCTCGGGAGCCCCACGATTCACCGGCAGCCTGTTGGAGAGGATTTTTGGTTCCAATCCCATCGCAGCCGTGTTCTTTTCTGTTTGGCGTCTAATACCTGGGAGGGCTCGTAGCGCTGCTTACAAAACATTACGAAACTTTGGCGAGCTCTTGTATGGACGTACAGAAGCTAATGTTCAAAGATTGCCCTTTGGGCTTTTTCTGAAAGCTCATGGGGACCCTGCGGAATGTCGCAATGAAGTGACGGCGCTTACTATGGTTCACCAGCGGACTGTGATACCAACACCAAGAGTGTTGGATGTGGTTTACGGGTCAGGAGATTGGGACTCAAAAGATTCAGACTCGTACCTCCTCATGACACAGTTGCGCGGGATGTCAATGTATCGGTGCATTGAAGTTATTTCTGACAACGACCTCGCTCATATCCGTCATCATCTGGGGTTGTTCCTATCTCAACTCCGAAGCATACCCAAAATTCATCGTACTGGCGTGACTATTAGTGACACGCTAGGGGAAGCCTGCAAGGATTCGCGCATTCGAGGTGGACAGCATGTTGGCCCCTTTGAGGATGAAGCGGCCTTTAGCCAATATCTCATGTTCCCCGATGATCCAGCTCGTCGAGGCCACAATATTCACTTTACACATTCGGACCTCAACCCACGGAACATTTTGGTGGATCGAATTGCAACGCGAGGTGGTGGTCACCGTTGGATAGTGACTGGGATCGTAGACTGGGAGTTTGCTGGTTTTTACCCAGAGTATTGGGAGTTTACGAAAGCCATGTTTGAGCGCTTTCGCTGGCCACGGCGATACAACGAATTCGTCAAATCGACGTTTCAGCAGCTGGGGGATTACTCTGCGGAGTTTGAACTAGAGAAGAAGAGCTGGGAGAATGCGGATCATGTTTGATCGCCCTTATAGTGATACGGCGATCAACAGTTGTACTTTTAGTTTCATCTGCTAGCTTTCACTTATGCCTCTCCAGATGCTGTGCAATGGCATTCATTTTATTATTATCCTGCATCAAGTGAAATTCCTTGTTTGTTCTGCGAGGAATTAGTGATATGGTAAACAACAAGCTGGGGAATTCTTCTTCTACAAATATTTAGCTGCTCGAATATCGCTTTTTTTTTTTCAATGCTGGGCGAAGGGACTACTTGCTCAAACGCACTATTTTTGATAATTTACAACTGTCAAAATCTTCTGCTTGCTGAGCGATGATAAATCTCTCTTGGTCTCTTAACTAATAAAACAAATCGATTTAGCGTAGGATACATGCACGGATAACCGCCTGCTGATGCTCAAGGTTTATGTGTCTGGCTTGTCGAATTATCTCAAGAATATAAGAGGTTAATGATACCACATGTGGGCATAATCGTTTCTGCCCTTTTGCCGTAGCGCACCGAACAGGATGAGAATACAACAGGAGGCTCGTAAGCATACACTCTTCTTATATTCTTTGATGATGGCGAATATTAATTTAACCCGTTGTTAGATCCGCCGGGGACACAGGAGGTAGCTGATCTGTGTTCAAAAAGCGTCACCAGCAGGCCCCGACGTCGAGCCGCACCTAACGCCCGTTTGGTGCAGGCGTTTGGTATAAATAACAGTTTCACGACAGTGGATGAGAGCATTCATCGACAGTTCCTCAGAAGAGCTGTCGAAATCATAAAGAGTGCTAATGCAAAGAAATGGGTGTAAGTTCACCATGTGGCTAGTGAGACTGTGGCCGCACTCTGTTGCGCCAACGATAAAGTTGGCAGGCTTAAAATTGAGCATATCTGTCGTGTCATGTGCTTCGTTACTGCGCTAGAGATATCTTTCCGACCACACGGCAGGCTACTTCTGATTATGAGAAATTGGACTGGAGCACCCAGACCATCAACGATCTTTGGCTTCAGTCCAAGAGCAAGGGCCCTCAGAACAACAGACTGTTGTCAAAACTGCGAGATGAATTGCAATCACTGCTTCCGGAAGAGCGGGACGACCCTTTGGCCTTGATTCTCCTGGCCTATGAGACTCTTTGGCGAGCCGTCTTGTTGACCTATGTTCACGTCGCGTTTCGCTATATTGACGAGGACACAAAGTTTATGCTTCAAGAAATTCCGAACGAGTTCCATGACACCGAACAGGTGGGATTTGATAAAAACATAATTAGATTATCCCAGGTAAGTCCAAACAAACACCCTTCGGTGAGCTGTCGTTGGTGGAAGGAGTACTTGCTAACTATCGTTACTTGTTTCTAGGAAGCCCTTCGTATCTACCCCCCAACCAAGCGCATCTATCGCGCCTCGTGGTTTGGCGTAGTGGCGGCAGACGTCGAGTCACTGACGAGAATATCTGGGGACCAGATGTTCTAGAGTTCCGCCCCAGCCGCTTCGAAACGCTTACCAAGAATCAAAAAGATGCATTCATGCCTTTCGGCATCGGCAGGCATGCATGCCCAGCTGGCAACAGCTTTGCTGGAAAGCTGATTGCCATCTTGGTGGTAACCCTCATTGAGCAATTGGGGACAGCCGAGACTGGCACGAAGATTAAATTCGACAATGAAGAGTTGGATGACGAATTTCATGTGATGTTTCCGCTGCCTACTGGGCGGTGTGCCATGAAAAATTGGGTTGTCTACCTAAATCCTGAAGCCTAAAGCCAGATTGGTTTGTAGGGACACTTTCGTCTGGGGGATCGATCCGGGAGAAGTACAACTCTTAAATTACTTAGGTTACTCTAGTTGACAGAAATATATGCTCATGATTCCTCAAATTCCGAGAGAGTATAATATCCGTTAAATGCCATTGCTCGTAGACTGGCCTGAACCCAGCCTCAGATGAAATAATTCCTAGGTACTGCTAAAAAGGCAGTCCCAGAAGCAATCTTGAATGTGTTAGTGCCGAATGTTGCATCCATGAGAAGATATTTTTACCAGTGGCTCTGCCTTGAACTGCCAATGCCAAAGTTCATCGGCCTCGACAAGGGGCTTTAATTTTGGTTGTAAAACGAGATGGAGTCTTGTATTTGAGGGTTCATGTTAGGTATTGACCTACCCCAACTCCTCTGATCGTCGTTCCTATTTTTACTCTGGGCAGCTATGATTATTGTGCCCAATACACCTACCATTCCTCAATTTCCCTGGAAGACTTCGCGCTGAAGTATGCCTCTAACTTGATACTCCTAGGTTTTAAACGTTCTACTTCCTACTACTTTCACTGCTTTTACTTAGTATTACTAGTAAAGTGATCTGTGCTGACTGGCCAGAAATCCAATTGCTGCCAGAAACTTAATTGGTAGAAGATAGATCGACGCATGAACATCATATTACTTTGTTATGAACTTCAGTGGTTTTGGAGACGAGGAGTGGTTGAGTTGGCGTGGCAAAGTCTTGTGCTTGATGTCACAAAGATCACCGAGGTGTCTTGAAGTGAGGGTTGGATATCCACTTCCTGGTCGTTTCTGGCCCTATGAATCAAAAGACTGCAAAGAATTTTGTTTCGTATTCTTAATGATAATTCGATAAAACTGCAATATGGATTTTTTTGAGAGATGATACCTGATAATGCTTGTTTTCTTGGGCAGTTTATCAGCCAAGTCGCCGAGCTACATTCCAGATGAGTCAGCATTGATTAAAAAGCCTCGGCGTCTCAAACATGAAGAGCCCGTTGCTCCATCGTCATCATTCAAGCAGACCTATGACCGAACGCAGGTAGCTCTTCAACCATGACTGAGCAAGCCGAGGCCGCAAGTCCCATCCGTCGAACGCGGATCACGCGGATCGCCTGCAAGGCTTGTCATGCTAGGCGGGTCAAGTGTGATGCTGCCGACGGGCTGCCGTGCATGCACTGCCGCACCCGACAAGACCCCTGCGAACTGATCGAATCACGAAGGGGCAAGTAAGTTGCTGGAAACTCATAAAGGCTCTAAAGTTCTATTCAGTGACTTGCGACTACAGGTACTCTAGACCACCTTCCAAGAGACAGCAACGCCGAACCCGCGGTAGCCTTCCTGACCCGGGCCCGACTGAGGAAGGCCGTCTTGGCTCGAGTCAACCTGTAAATGTTACGGCACGACACTTGGTTGACGACAATGAGGTCACAGAAGCCGAGAAGCTTCCCGAGCGTGAGGTGCAAGATAATCAGGTCGCGGGACGTGGTGAGGGTTCGGCCCATCTGTTGAATTCACTGAACCTGTCCTCCATCATTGACATGGTTCGTCGTGCAAAGGACGGCGATTTCGAGAATGTCCGTGCCACCACACACGAGCTGACCCGTCTCGTTGAGAAAGTGAATCTTCAACCGAGCATCCACTTGCATCAGCAGATGTCTGTGCAGGACGCGCTCGTCCTACCCGATGGACCGACAAGCGACCAAATGATACAGTTCTTCTTCGAGTATTTTCATCCCGCGTACCCGGTCATTGACAGGCCAGCGTTTATCAGCCTGTATAGGCAAGGCAAAGCGTCTACTCTGCTTCTACATAGCATATTCATGGCTGCATTAACCTGTGGCCCCGAGAGTCTCGTGAGGCAGGCTGGGTACACTGACCGAGCCACTGCCAAAAAGGCACACTTTCAACGCGCAAAGAGGCTGTACGAAGTCGGGCATGAAACTGATGCGACGAGCGTCGCGGCAGCACTTCATCTGCTCAGCTTCTGGTGGAGTGAGCCGCATGAGCAAGAGTCGTGGATCTGGGCAGGGTGCTCTGTGACTTTGGCACAGTCGTTGGGCATGCATCGCGCGTATGTGACACACAAGTGTGAGCATAGCTGGGATATATCTCACTGACCTTGTGGACCATTTTAGCCTGGGAAGACGCAGGATGAGCAAACGACTAGTGTCAATCTGGAAGCGCATATGGTGGTCCATCTATGTAAGACTGCATCTTCTCTTTTGGTGCCCCAGAATCTAACTTGGCAGATTCGCGACCGACACATCGCAGCAGCACTGGGGCGGCCCTGTCGCATAAGAGACGAGGATTGCGACGTCGAAGCTCTTACAGAGGACGACTTCTATGTAGACTTGGTCGCCGACGATGAAGAACTGGTAGCACCCCAGAAGGCCCATCATGTGTCTTATTTCCTTGACATTGCCAAGCTGTCGGCCATACGTGAGTTGGAAATCACTGAACAAACTTAGAATTCGAATTAACGCAGGTTCTGTTTGGTATAGTTGGAGATATCCTTATTGGGGAGTTCAGCCCTCGTCCGCCGGCTTTGGCAAAGTACGAACCGACTTCTTCTGCCCAAAGGCTGCAGGCATGGCGTTCTGAAGCCCGCTGCGTTACGTCCGACAGTCTATCAACTGAATCAAGCGGCTTGTTCTTCTGGGCCAGCATGCTGGATGTCTCATATCAGTAGTATTGCCCCGATTCTTTGCATGCTCAGCGGAGACTGATCTTGACCCAGGAATGCTTGTATTTTACTCTTCCGACCAAAACCTACAAGAAACCAGACAATGCCGGAATCTGAGCGAGCCAAGAGAGCGCAACGGGCGGCAGATGCAATAACGCGAACTGCAGAGGATCTTTTGTCTGTCGACTTGTTACAGCACACACAACTTCATCTGTAGGCACACGTGTACGATAACTCCCTCTTTGCTGAGCACGTCACTGACATATACATCTCATAGCGTCCCTGGGTTGTTCAGCGCCCTATCCGTATATACCCTAGCCCTCGATGGAAGAAGCAATGTCCATCGGAAGCTGGTAGAAAACAAGTCACGGCAGTGCATTTTGGCATTGAGTGAATTGGTCAAGGTCTGGCCCGTGGGAATGTGGCTGAAGATGGCTTTTGTGAACCTCCTGCGGCGACTTGTTAGCCAGAGATCTGTGGACGGTGCACGGGGAGACGAGGCGAACGAGAACGTGGAGGTTCTCCATGGCACACACTTCCCTTCCAACTCAGTTGTTCAGCCTGTACAGCCCCAAGAAGTCTTTCTGGGTAGCGGGCTTGGAACTGCCATTGATTTTGCATATGACGCCTCTTGGTTCGGGAGTTCAGAATGCATCTTTGATGCAGAAATCTTTCAAGAAGAACTCTCCTCCTTTGTATCATAGATTAATTCGTATTCAATAAATTTCAATCCGGAGAACTAGTCAATGACATCATGTTAGTAATGCCTCTTAGGATTCGAATCATACCTAGTAGTTGCCATTTGCCGAGTCGAGTCATGTACAAGTCTTGACCTCGGCGTCTTCATGAGAGTGGGGTTGGATTGTCTTAAACATGCAAAATATGCCCTCCCAAATTACGTTGCCTAACTCTTAACTCGCTTTATGAGGCTCAGATATTGATTCTCAGCACAAGAAATTCCTAGAAACGCTTCATCGGTCCCATTCTTCGGAATAAACACATCATCGTCTCATGATGGTATCGCTATAGACTGTTAATGTACAAAGCTCAGTAATGTACCTACACACGAATTCACTTGAATGTCAAACTCGACAATGACACAAGTGCTCAGTGGCGATGAACATGAGCCAGGCGCCGGGGGGTCTGAAAGCTTCGATATAGCCTTCAAAATCGTATTGGACGATGACTCTGACCCTGCATCCCCGAGAAGCATGCCAAGTCCCCGGAAATGGCTTATCGTGGCAACCATTTGTACAGCAATTGTCTGCGTGTAAGTAATTGAAAGTTTTAGTTCTCAGAGTTGATATTCGGCCACCAATCATTGACTCATTTCGCTCGAAGAACCTGTACCAGCTCAATATATACCACAACCTACAGCCAGCTGAGTCAAGAATTTGCAGCTTCGCGGCTTGTGTCTGCCACTGGGCTGTCCACTTTCGTCTTCGGTATAGCATTCGGGCCCTTGCTTTCCGGCCCATTGAGTGAACACTTTGGCCGGAGACGAGTCTACCTTGTGGCGTGGCTCACCTTCATTATATTCACGATTCCGTCTGCCGTAGCGCAGAATATGGGCACCCTCATCGCCACTCGCTTTTTCGGCGGGTTTTGCGGTAGCACTTTTCTATCAGTCTCTGGGGGAACGGTTGGTGACATCTTCGCCAAAGATGAGTTGCAAAAACCCATGGCATTGGTGTCATTGGCGTCCTTCCTAGGCCCATCATCAGGTCCCTTCCTCGGTGGATTCATCAACTATTACCTGCATTGGAGGTGGACATATTACATCATGCTGATATGGTCAGTCCTGATCTTCCTTGCCATCCTACTCATTCCCGAAACGTTCCACCCGATTGCGTGCGAGGCCAAAGCCTGCAAGCTCAGGATTGAGACGGGAGATATGAGGTACTGGGCACAATCAGAGACGACTCGCCATTCAAGCCCAAAGACGATAGCCCTCACTCTATTGCGGCCTTTTCAACTATTTTTCCTGGAGCCGATGTGCTTTTGCTTGAACATTTACTCGGCCATCTTGCTGGGAATCTTGTACCTTTTCTTTGGAGCAGTTCCTCAAATCTTTCGTACCAACTATGGCATGAATCTTTGGCAGAGTGGTCTCACATTCCTAGGCATTATCATCGGTATGGGGTTGGCAGTTCTCACTAACCCCCTTTGGATTCTTATGCGATTACGATTGGTCGCCCGACACAGGCAAGAAACAGGCAAGGACGATGCAAGCGAGCCAGAGTATCAGCTACCACCCGCGATGGTGGGAGGTATCTTGATACCAGTTGGCCTGTTTTGGTTTGCATGGACGATCCAAGGGACAATTCACTGGTTTGTTCCTATATTGGGCTCCTCGTTCTTCGGCTTCGGGTTAGTTCTCTCGCCTTCCAGTCTTCCATTCTTCAAATGCTCACCCGACGGAACTGTAGGGTCATCTTGGTATACAATGGCATCTTCACGTTTCTAGTATGTTTACTTTTTTTTTGGCTGCCCTCTTTCGCTTCAGTTTCACACTCATGGCTGCCTCCCAGACTGTCCGGGGCTCTTTTACTAACTCGAAAAATAGGTAGAGGCGTACAGCCCATACGCAGCATCAGCTCTCGCCGCAAACGGCTTCGCCAGGGCATTTCTTGCGGGTATGCTTTTCTTTATTATCATATGCTTTGATTTAGTGTCCAGATCTGACGATGAACGAGCAGCTACATTTCCGCTGATTCAAATTCCCATGTTTGATCAGCTTGGCTATTCGTGGGGCACGAGTGTACTGGCATTCCTGACTGTTGCCATTATGCCATCCCCCTGGCTATTCTTTAAATATGGCAAGTTTCTGCGCAGCAAAAGCAAGTTTGCTTCGACGCCTTGACTCTTCAGCCAGGCACCACTCATCTGTCTCAAATTGGTCTAGGACACACCTAGACTGTTAGCTTTGAGGATAAAGAGGAGATTTCGATCGCTCTGTATCGGATTCCCTGGCCTATGGTCTACTATCTCAACACATCCGGCGTGTTTTTACTATTCATAGACATGAGTGCACAATTTTGTGCTATGGTGTGTCTTTTCTCCATATTCAATTGGCACTGGGATGTATTTTAAGAGAACCTGTACAATAAGCAACACATAAAGCATTTTTGAGGCTATCACACACCTCCTCTCTATGTTATTATAGATTCAATGCCATATCTATATGAATGCTCTACTTTTTTAACAAGAAAATATGGGAGAGAAGGGAAAAGGTTTAGAAAGGGAAAAGAAGATAGAAAGAAATATAAGGCGCCATTTTCGTGTCTCTCTTCTCAATTGCCACCTTCATTATATCAGGAGCTTCGTTGAGCTCCAGCTTCAGAGCTTTCCCCCTCTTAGCTTGTGCTCCGTCTAGCAGTTGGCACGCCCTCGACCGACTTGTGATGATCTGCCAGTTCATTCTATATAGCCAATGCGACGGTCTCGAGCTAGATATTTAGTATTTAACAAAAAAAAAAAAAACACTGAAAACAAACTTACTTAAGTTTGATTTTCTGCTAAATGCTATAGTTTATATTAGTAAATAATAAAAGAATTACATACATATATTTTAAAGAAGGCTTTCTAAATTATTGTGCATTTTTACGCCCCAAATACTTTAAAAATCTATAATCTTAACTGGATTCAATCTAAATCTGGCTTTACTTGCAACATTAATTTAACTCAGTTCTACCTATTCATCTACTCATCACGCTAATTACTTTTGACAACCTATGTCGAGGGTCCCTAATGATAGGTATGTACCTTACCTGCACCGATGGTAAGAGCGGTGAAGGGCGGCAGAATTAGCCATCCCTCCGGATCGAATTCCGAACCAGATCCGATGGTGAGCCTTCAATTCGACCTACCAGACAGTTACGTAAAACCTACCTCGCCCCCGTCATTGGTTTGCGGGCATATCCAGCCTTTTATCCCTGAAAGCATTGTAAGAGAGCTGGAGGCCGACGAACTACACGATACGTGCGCTCTTGATGGACCCTGCTAAGCCCAAGAAAGGTGAGCACATCATCGTTGCATCTCAGCCCTCATGTCTGCCACGCAGCCGCCCGGTTTGCTTGTAATGTGTGGATTGTTGATAGAATTGGCCTTTAGCATGCTACCACTGCATGAAGCAGAGGATCAAGTGCGATCTTACACTGCCCAAGTGCCTGAAATGCGCCAAGAAGGGGTTGGAATGCCCTGGATATGGTATCAGATATCGTTTCTACGATGATAACACTACCGTGCTCTCCGAGAAATCACACCAAGCTGCATCTATTACACCGGCAAGAGACTGGAAGTGGGTGGACGATACGAGGCGGAAAAGAGCTCGAGTCCAACGGCAAAGCGTCTCCGATACTGCAGGCTCGACGTCCACCGAGCTTGAGCACCAAGACACGATTGCATCTCAAATTCTGCCTGCCACAGAACTGACTCTCGTAGCAAGGAGCCACTATACCCATATCTCGCAAATACATCAGGATGCAGACTACTTAGATCCAAACCATTCGGGAGGCGAACTCGCCCCCCCTGCGCCTGCGAGGCCATTGTGCAATCTACACCCCAAGATGCGCTTGTTTTTCCACCACTGTAAGTCATTGGCTAGTCACAGGCGAACAAAGGACACGGACTAACATACTGGCTAGTTTCTAGCCATGTGTCTCCAGTTATGCTGATGTATGATGACGAGGGCAATGGCTACCGGCACCAAATTCTTCCTCTGGCCACCTCAGATCCGATGGTTGCGCGCGCGGTCTGCGTGGTGGCAGCGTTCCATCTGTCTTGGTGGATGCCGCAACTGCGCTTGCCGGCTGAGAGCTGTCGAGCGGCCATCATTAGTAGATTGACGGCATCGTCATTTGATTTGAACGACCAAACCTGGGCGACTATCATCTTGCTCATCATGGCAGACCTCGTCACCGGCCATGAGCATGCGATCGTGCTGTACAAGATGCTTGCTGCGTTCTTGGATGCCCGGACACAAGTCAAATCCCAGGGCGAATCGAGCCGAGCTTCGCAATTGGAAGGTTTCCTGCATTACCAGTCCCAGATGTAAGAGTTGATATCTCTTCACGCTATAGCTACCCGAGCGTTGACTGACTCTCAATTAGGCTATCGTTTTTTGCAAACCCCGTCCTGAGTGAGTCCAAAGCACTTACGGGGTATGGCCAAGTCTTGGGTAATCCTCTCGAAAGCTTTGAACAATACGCTCCCAGGCGCCGTCACGCCCTTGAGCAGTACCCGCCGGCATATGATGAAGCACAGAGCCCTCGGCACTCGCTGGGCGACTCTACAACCCAGCTCTACGGAGAGATTGTTCGCGAAGCCACCCAGATTTACATACATAGAGCGCGGATAGAAGAAGAGGCCAGAAACTCAAAGTCACAGAGCACCACCACCACTCCACAGGTACAAGTTGAACACAATCTAGTTTCAACCACTGCAATCCCCACAACGTCTTGTCGAATAGCTCGTATGCGGCGTCTCCTCGAACAAGTCGACCCCTCTTCGCCAGGCGCTCACACAATTGCCTGGCCGGCATTTATGGCCGCCTCTGAAGCAAGCAAGGAGGAGGATCGCCAGTTTTTCTGTGCTACCTTGGAGCGGGTCTGGGCTTCGACTCGGTATGCGAACGTTTTGAGAGGCCTCAACGCGCTGCCTATGATTTGGGAGAGACAGAGGCATGGTGAGAGGTGGACTACTGTCTTGCCTCAGCTTAAGACTTTTGTTATGTGATTAATGGCCAATTTCTTCTGTAAAGGTGACTCATAAAGTTAATGATAATACTGGTGACCAATCATGAATACAGCAACCTCGGCCAATCTCCTTATTCTTCGCCCTTTCTGACAGATCGCTCAGATGCGAACATGCCTTGTTGATCCAAAAGATGTATGTAAATTTCGCTTCATATAAACAAACGCTCAGGCATCTTCTAATCTATCTAGCTCCTTCTTCAGGCACTTCCTTCACAAACCAGCCAAATCTCGCTATCCCATTCCCCGGGTCCAGGTGAAAGAAGCAGTTAGGACTTGTCTCATGATCACAGCACCGTCCTACTCATACAAAATAAAGCTCCTCCCCACTACAGCTTCGACAAGAACGCCGGTCTGGGGGCCTTGCCGCTCAGATCATCAGCCACCTCTTTGGCAACCCGCTGCCCGTCCTCGATGCCTCCGTCCAGGAACCCTCTCCACCCCATGGCCCAATCCGCGCTGCCAAACCAGACGTTGCCTTGCTTCTCGCGGAGCGCATCCAGGTACTTGCTGACCTGGTTGGGCTTGAGCCACTCCCACGCGCCCTTTGCGAACTCGTCCTTGTGCCAGTTGTGGAAGACGATGCGCTTGAAGTCCTTGGTGTCCGTGTTGGGCAGCAGCCCCTTCCACGCCTCGATGGTCTCGTTGATGTTCTCCTCCGGCTGGAGGTGCACGCCCGGCAGGGAGCTGCCGAACGCGACCAGGTGCGTGTTGCCGGCCGGGGTGGTGCCGTCGCCAAAGGCGTAGGTCAGCTTGCCGTTGGGGTAGTTGTACGCGCCCAGCTCGCGGTGCTCGGGGCGGTCGACCTCGATGTGGACCTTGACGACCTGGTTGCAGTGGCCCTCGAGGCTGGCCTGCTTCTTGAGGGGGAGCAGCGCGGGGGTGAAATGGACGGTGTGCAGGACGTTGAGGGGGATGGTGCAGATGAGGCGCTTGGCGCGGAAGACGTGGCCGTCGCGGCCGGTGACCTCGACGACGCTCCCCTTGTCGTTGACGGAGGCCACGGGGGTGGAGAAGGAGTGGGCGAGGTTGCCGGTGGCTTTGGCCTCGTCGAAGATGCAGCGCTGCAGGCCGCTCTGGCCGCATGCGAGCTTGAAGCGGAGGCCGCGCTCCATGAAGTCGGTGTAGGTGTAGTTGGCGAGAGCCCACCAGCGGAGGATCTCGAAGAAGGAGGCCTCCTCCCACTTGGCGCCGCAGGTGATGGACATGAAGGCCTCGAGCATGAGCTTCTCGGTCGGTGTCAGGTCGTGCTCGATCTGCTTGAACCTGTCGGCCATGGACATCTTGTCGTAGATGGCGACGGCGGCGCGGTTGCGGAGGGCGTCGTGGGGGTAGGGGATGGCCTCGCGGCCGTATTTGCCGTCAACATTGACCATCTTCTTCATGGCCGACTCGACCACCTCGTCTTCTTCCTGGCGGGACATGGTGACGGTGGGTTTGTCCTTGTTCAGGATGGCGCAGGTTCCCTGCTCGGTTGGCGAGACCTCTAGGTTGGTGCCCAGGAGGTTGTAGCGGAAGAGTTCTCGCCAGATGAATGGCTGTGCCCAATGCACCCAAGTGCCGCCCATCTCATAAGGGTAGCCTTCGATGTTGGATGACCAGGAGCGCCCGCCAATTCTATCACGGGCCTCAATGAGAAGGGTCTTGTGGCCGGCCGTGGTGAGGTCGCGGGCGGCTGTAATGCCAGTGTATCCCGCGCCAATGATGGCCACATCGTAGACGGTCCCATTGACGGCCGTTGAAGGGGGTTGAATGACACCGACGGTTGGGACACCGGCCTTGAGACCAGTCTGGGGAGTCCACTGCCAACCGTCGCGGCTGAGAGATCCTGATGGCTTGCTCATTGTGGCTGATTCGGAACGGTGAAACTTTACAATTCAGAGATTCTAATTGATGAGAAGCTGTGGTTTGCAAAGATCAATGGGCTTCACTGTAGGCACGCGACACAGCCTTTATACCAGGAGAGCCTGGCCAGCCGGCTTCTCGTTTTTTATGCCATATCTGGCAATAGTGATGATGGGCAACAGATGCTCGGAACGTCGGAACTGTCACTCTGTCGGAACCCCACAATCTGGACAATCTGGTCTGTGTCATTTTCTCACTCTCCCTTCCCTTTTCGGTAATTCTCAGGGCTCCGCCACTCATCGGCCAGATCCGACGAGTCATGAGCTTATTCCCCACTGCCTCAGAGATAACAATTCCCGAGCTGATGGGGCGCGTTGCCACAAACCAATGAAGACTCTGTATTCCTCCCGATTGTTGATAGAGGCGACGTATCAGCGGGTATTCAAGGAGCAGTTCTACTAAAAAGCTGTTTATCCATGTCGTGCTTGAGATTAGATGAAATAATTGGGCAGGATGAAGTCGACGCTTCTAAAAATGATGTCGGCGTCTTTGAGCAGTTCAGCAGTCAAAACCTAAAATAAGTATCGTTTAGAGAACCGAATACCTTCACAAGTGTTTCATATTATTTCAAGGGTCATTTTCATATGTAATATTAGCACTATGGGGTTGCAAAATTAGACTGAGGCCTTTGATATAGGGTAGGTAGCAAGTGACATACATGGAGGTATAGATAACTGATCAAAAACAGAGCAGAGAAGTGTAAACTTGTCAATATAAATTCGGATTGAAAATCACGGTTTTAATACTATACAATAGTTTAGAGAGAAGAATGGCATTCATTCGCTAAATGGTGAGAAATTGGCAAGTGCCGCTCTTGACTCAATGTCATGATCTTCAGAACTAATCTAGTGACTATGCTCTACTCTCCCACATGACGCCGTAGGTGAGAATATCCTGTCTAGGGTACAAAAATTCACGGGCCGCAAGCTATGGAGCTCGTTATTCTCGAGAGAAGGGTTTTGGGTCGGCAACGTAATCCATCGTACCACCCATAGCAAGGGCAAAAACTGGCTTAATATCCCCAGTAATATGGTATGTGGGAGCCAAGAAGTTTCCGGGAAATCCGAGGTCAAAAGGCGCCGCTCCATCAATCTCCTTGATATCCTCATCGTTGAGACGCACAGAAAGAGCGTCGATATTATCCTTCAGGTGCTGCACTGTTCGGCAGCCAACAAGCGGAAAGACGTACGTTGTCTTGCTCGAAACGTACGCCTGCGCAACGTTGGTGATAATGGTGTTTTTACGTATAGCGACAGATTCCAGGGCCCGGCTGATCTTGATGTCGTTCTCGGTTGGCTCGACTTTTCGGCCCTCGTTGGTTGCTTTCTGACGCTGCTCCTCAGTCTTAAAGGCGCCTCCACCAAGCACGCCCCATGGGACGATGCTCATTGCCTCCTCGCGACACATTGGGATAATTTCGCGCTCTAGGTCGCGAATAGAGGCATTCCATCTTCCCTGGTACACACTAAACTGGCGAAGACCGTGGTTTCGAGCATACTCATTGGCTTTAGTGACAACCCAGGCTGGAGTATCGCTAATCCCGAGGGCGAGCACCTTTCCGGACACAACAAGATGATTGAGGGACTGCATCAGCTCAGGGATGGATACAGAGAAGTCCCACCAGTGCACATAGAGCTGCATAAATATTAGCCTTAGACAATGTTCACAAGCCACGGAAATTCCAGGAAGACGCATCAACGTACCAGATCAATGTAGTCGGTCTGCAGATTTTCCAGGCTGTTCTGGACTGACAGGTGCAGGCTCTTCGTTCCATTGCCCTGGAAGTTGGCAAGGATCATCTCTTCGCCCTTGCCTGCGTGAAAGTTTGTAGTGTACTTGGTGGCAATGACCATCTGGTCACGCACACCGCGCTTCGCCATCCACGCTCCAATCCATTTCTCAGATTCCTGGAACTGGTAGTTGTTGGAGGTGTCAACAAAGTTGCCACCCTGGCTATAGAAATAGTTCAGAATGCCCTCTGTCGTCTCCTTATCACAGGACCCCACTTGAAACTCGTTAGAAATCATTGACATCATGTCTATCGAAATGAGACTTACTGTATTCCTTCCAGACATCGCCAAAGCTCATGCCACCCAGGCAGAGAGGGCTGACTCGGATTGAAGCTGTGGGCGAAAGTAGGCGATAGCGGCCCAGGGCGCTTTTGGGAGGAGGAGCAAGAGGAAGAAGGCTGGCCATTTTGATTGTTCGTGGCTCTGTGGTGTTGTCTGTTGGCGGATCGGCTTGTTGGCTTGGCTAAATAGGTAAAGAAATGTTTGGGTCTGGCAGAAAAGCACACATTTAAATACTTTGATCGACTCATATCCAAGAAGTACATCTTACATGTACTGTCAAATGCTATTGACATGATTTCAAGGTCCCCAGCATGGGTGTAGCCGAAGGACCAAGCCCATACTGGCATCGCGTTGAGGCGGCACTGGAAGAGGCTCCAAGTAGCATGTCTGCCCGAGCAATACTTCAAAAGGGGCCCACCCCGTGCAGGAAAATCCGCTGTGCCCTGTTAGCAGTCTTCCATATTTGGACGGATGCAATAGAATTGTTTTCTCGTTTTGGTTAGTCGTACTGTTGCTGGCTGGTGCAGCTTGGTGGGCTTGCATTGGCGGGGTTCCTGGTCATAACATTGTCGTCGTATCCCATGAGACTGATACTAAGTCCGAACCATTGTAAAGTCCATCCTAACCCCGGCTGTTTCATGTAATCATTTTGAAGTACCATACTCACTGAACTGGATCGCTGCTTGCGTAGGCGGTGTCGTGTGAGATTTGGGATTTCTTTTGCCAGCCAGGAGGACGCCGCAATCATGAGTGAAATTTTATAGCTATACCTCACTGGGGTGCGATACAGAATGTTCTATTTGGATTGGTCCTGTGCTATTGCAATAAATAAAGTCTCTGATAATAATTGAAAGGAGATTCGTGGATTTAGACGACTTGTTGAACGGCAGTTTCTTCTGCCATGCTGTTTCGTCTCGCGAGCCTATCCTGGCATCTTAAAGAACCCGACCCGGTGTCTTCAGAACACAATATAGTCCCCGGGGCTTGAGGCATGTTTTCCCCACTGGCACGGTTTTCCTCGTCAATAATAGCCATATCCATCTGGCTTCCGTTCTTCTGCGCTCCTGCAAATCCTTGCGCAGCGCCTGAGCCCTGGTAGATGGTGTTGTTCGTCTCCGCACCCTTCAGTGACCTTTGATTCGTGCTATCATCTGGATTCGTATTGTTATTACTGGAGTCGTAGCCGTGTCGTGGATTGCAAGGTGATGCGTTCTGTGAAGTGCCCACGGAATCGGACACAGTGACCCAGTGCAACACCAGGGTCGTGAAAAGGACTGGTTTTGGTTTGTCTGTTAGCCACGTCGCGTATACTTAGAAATGGGGCAGAGAACTCACTATCAGTATTGCATATGATGAAACACATCCAGGCGGGTTCTCCATCGAGAACCGTCATCATGACGATATTAACGACAGTAGACGTCAATGTGGCAAGGGATCCGACAAAGGTTCGGATGACCATCTTTTTAAGCCTGGGATTATGATCGTAGGAGTGGAGATCTGTCCGCATAGTATTAGTAGAAACCCGAATATAAGCTAATTTGATGTTTCATACTGCGAATAGGGATTAAGAAGGTTGTTGTGAGGTACAAGTTGACGAAGACTTCAAAGATGACCAATGGGATAAGCACAGAACGCTCCATCCCGATGATGCACATTCCATCATCCCTAAGGTATCCAATGCGGCGGACCATATTGGCGACAGCGAGTCCAGCATAAGACACTGATCACATTAGCGAGTCCAAATGAGTAGCGAAGTCTTGTACATTACATACAGAGCATGCCGAAGCAGTTGAACAGATACACTTTGCTCTTTAGGCGTCTCTTTCCTCGACCCCGGACAATGTGCTAGGTTCAGGTTAACAAGAATTGGGGGGGGGGGGGGGGGGGCTGTGCTCAGCAAGTTGAAACTTACGGCCTTCTCCACGAGAAACATGTATATTAGGATCTTTGACATAAAGTAAAAGACTAGACCTGCATGGTATCCCGTAAATCTTTCCATGCTGCGGAGGGAGGTAATTCAGCACTTACACAGAAATATCCCGGCCTGACAGACCGTATGAGAAGAGTTTATGCCGGCAGCGGTTAGAAGCGCTGTAGATACGATGAATAGTAGGGTGTCCGCGTAGATCAGAAGGAGGATCCAGTAAGATAGAGGAAGTAAACTCCAGCGCCGGATGTTTTGTACTCGCCTTGTACCACATATCGACAAGGCAATGAGGGACGCGAAGGTCAAAATCAATGGCCCGACCCTGTTGCCGACCGGAAGGATTAGTCCCAAGGAATCGTTACTCCTCGGGGCATCTCGAAGGCTAGCAGTGTCGATACGAGCCATGAGAATGGCTCTGTTTCTCCAGGATTCGGGTGATGTAGAACGAAGAATCACCACGTAGCGGAGAAGAATTTAACAAATATACTACTGCCTCGGCTTATCTCACGACTGGTCTCGGGACCGATCATTAGATCATTAACTATCGATGCACTAGAGAGCGGAGATCGAGGATGATTAGCTGCGGATCGGAATCTGTTTCAGTCTGACGCAAACCTTAACAAATTCCCTTGATCTTGCGTGGTAATGGTCGCGAAGCACTGCTACCGACAGGGCCAGCAACTCTACCCGGCCCTTCTCTTCCCTCTCCTGGACCCAAAAGGAGCATCGAATTTGCCAATACTCTGCCCATTGCTTCTCTGAAGTAATACAAATTGATCGGACAGTTTTTTGAAAGGAGTGAACTGTTACCCGGAAGACGAGATCTAAGTGATGAAAGCTGTGGCGCAGTGATTACATTCTCTACTAAGCTTCCACCATGTCCTTTTTCGTTTTAACGCTCAATACTAGTCTTGATGATGTCCTCGATCGGTTTCCAAACGCAGTAAATTCCCAGTGGCTTAAAGGAGCATTCCAGTGCGTCCACACAACAGTTGAAAGCCCAACGGGACTTCGGGCCATCCGGGATTCCGTAGGCTAGGGGAGCTGTTTCCTGTGGCCTACATCACCATAAATGTCAACCCAACCGCTTAGTATGGCTCTCAGGCTCTCTAAAAGCAGCGTGTAGTTTGACCCCTTGCCAAGCTGTTGTTGTCGGCTCTCAGCGCCAAGACCGAATATCGAGCCCGTTTGGGACTAGCTTGCCAAGCGTGGAATGATCTCCGTTTTAGCCTTAGCGTTTTCTTTTCTCGCAGGAGCCAACCTAAAAGATGGAGTTAATTGCCCCTTGTCCCTGGTGAGAACGAAACCAGGGAACCGATGACTGTCGGGGAGGTCACCGTTGAAAGTACTCAATGGGCACGAGGGAGAGGCTTACATAGTCCGAGACACTCATCGTGCCTTTCTTTTTTCTTTTTTCTTTTTCTTTTTTTTTTCGAACAGATGAGGTTTTTGAGAGACATATGTCTGGGTCTGTCGAAGTTAAGACCGGGACTGGGCCTTGAAAGCTGAATAATTAGGGAGCGGGTAGCAAGTTGCACATGGTCTGTATGCATGTTTCTCGCACGTGGGGTGATTCTACGTAGAGCTTGAGCTGTTGGTCATATACATCACCATGCGGGCTTCGTCTTCAAGTAAATATGGTCAATACTAGAAATCTGACAAACTCCACGCGATACACCGTTATTCACCCGTGGAAAGCCTCTCCATAGATCGTTTTAAGTACAAAGAAAGCGAGTTGATAAGTTGATCTTCCACGACGCCATTCGACCATGTTATTGATAGTGTTAGAGGGCCGCCTCTGACCGAAGCGCAATTTACTGAGAACGCATGACCAGTTACGGAACCGCTTTGAGTCATCATCAGACGTCGGAGCGCCATGCGCTTCGCATCTTGATCAGCGGTTGGATTCTGTCCAACTCCGAGATTGGATATTTCGTAGCTCTTAGTCCTCCGCTTACCCAATATCTCCAACGCCGACTTGCGAAGCTCGATCCCATCTGGGACGTCGCGGAGCTCATCAATGTAAGAAGAGGCGGCCACCTCCCGCGCCATTGACTCGCTAAAATCTTTCGCGATTTGAACAACATGTTCCCTCTCCTCGGAAGACTGAGGCTGCGTCTTCCGTATCGCGGCTAGACCAGATTCAGGAACATACATCGCCATAGATGCCGCATGAAACGCGATATCCTGTGCGCTGGTCTTGGTGAATTGGCGCAATGAATATGGTGTGACCAAGCGAAAACCAGGCGCCTCCGCGGCCTCTCTGCTCAAGAACACGCATATGAGCCCGTGAAGATACCCTGTCAATGTAATGCCCTGACTCTTGCAAAATTTTAGAGATGAACTCAAGGTTTCGGGTGGTACGATTGCCATATGAACTCTGGATCGATATCCGTTCCCTGGCGGTAGAGTTATTGTATCTCCAGGCCATGCTGGTTGGTTACCATGTGTTGCAGGCTGTTCACTCTCCGACCTCTGCGGATTATTTAAGTCGATGCGTTCCTCTACTAAATTGGGTAGTGAAACATCCCAGTCCACAACCAACGGCCATTTTACTTTTGAAGATGCATCAGAGATCAGTGAAAAATGCTTCATCATTGTGTTGTGAAATGCCAAGCCACTGAGCCCATCGGCTATGGCGTGATGAAAAACAAAGGCAATATCAAATCTGCGCTCTTCGAGTGTTTCCGAATCACTCTGAGCAGCCTCTCCAAGAAGAGACTTTTCGGTAGGATGGTGAATGATGATCATTCTCCATGCAGGCTTTCCAACAGGCCAAAAACTTGTGTGGGCGTTTTCTAGGCGTTGACGAAGTAGACTGTCCGCCGCTGACTCCGAACCTTCCTCGCTCGAAGTTTCAGAGGAATAATTGATCACTTCGATCAGATCATCGCGATCAACTTCCTTGAAGCTTGCGAAAATAGTTGAGCCGTCATCCGTAGTCTGGTCAGACAGAATGTAGCAGAGTGCCGGATGCTCTCGAATGGCAGCTTGCACACTCGCGTCCAGTCTTTGCTCAAGATCAACCTTCCGCAGACTGGAAGAGTATATGCCTGTGACTGCAACAGATCTGTAATAGCCAAGATCATGGGCAATGGAAAACATCCGGCCACATATGCCTGAAAATACAACTCAGTTAGTGACAGTTACGATTGCCGAGTTTGTATCGGAAAAAGCGTAGAAATAAAGGCGACGGGACATAAAATACCAAAAGTGGAAGTCTTTTGCTCGGCCATGATGTATAGGCGCTCTTATCAACTTGAAGCGGTTTGTTTGATGAGGAGTTGCGGGGAGGAATGACGATGGTGAACTGTCAGATTCCTCTTCGATGGCGTATCAAGACTCAACCGCTGACAAACAAGGTGGGTCTTGAACATATTCAGCGGTTCCAGTACCCGATTGCTTATCGACTACTCGACTCCCGGATAAATTGGGTATTGTGTAGAGATCTGAGGCGGTGAAGCTGCGTCTTTTAAATGAAAATTGGACTATACATTGGCCGATACTTTGATCGATTTATACAATGGATTTTGTTAACAATTTCTACAGCACGAGATATAAACCTATGCTCCTAACAAGGATAATTCACACAACAAATCATTCTCCTGGCCTTTCTCAATGATCAATCGTTATGAACTACTGCTAGAAATTGTCATCACAGCTAACTTGCTGTGTAATATTTGTTTTCGACGCGTGAAATATTGCTAAAAGTAGAGAGACTTATAAGCTGAACAGGCATGAACAAAAACATAGTAAGGTAAGAAGCGGATAATCTAAAATTGGAGAACATCTTTCATCGTCTCTAGGGCGGCGAATAGATCATTGTCATGATACTTCCTGGCACAAACCTGGATATCAATGGGAGCACCCTGAAAGTCACCATCAGCCCATAGCTTTCTGACGTGCTTGCATTCTTCGCTCAGTGGTGTTTGTTTGTCTCCTGAGTAATCCTCGGTACCCTTCTTTCCCGCCTTGAATGGCGTTGGGAGGCATACGCCAGGACAGTCAACATAATTCCAGAACGCCGTGTAGTTCCAGTAGAAGGCCGTTTCGTGCGAACAGGCCGGGCCAACGAAAGCCGGGCTGATCACCACATCAACGTCCTGTGCCGTCCAGTGACTCGAAAACTCTGCACGAAACAAGTCCCTAATTACTCGTTGTCGCAAAACCCCAGTGGTGCCAATATCCTCTCCCTCAGCATCTTTGATGATCCATTGAGTCAGTGGAAGCATGGGCTCTCCCGTGCTGGCAAGGTGAGCCTTGACTGCCTGGCCCCCATCCGGCCAGTAAGCGAGGCGGATATTCTTCATTGCCTCCGCCACCTTGAACGGTTTAAACTCCTTCACCTCAAACGAGCCTGTCTTTTCTAACGCATCCTTGGCCCACATCAAAGCTTTGGTAACCGGCGGCTGCGGTTCAATAACACCGTCATTCATCATGAAGCCAATTTTCAGCGGCGACTTCTTCTCACCGCTCAACCCTGTCCAAGGAATTGGAATAAGGCGCGGGTCGCTCAGGTAAGGCTTCGCATCTGTCAAGACCCTCATAAACAAGTCCATGTCACGAAGAGATGTACACATTGGCCCAGTCGAACACAACACATTTAGCTCGGCTCCAAACCCTTCCGGCAAAAATCCCGACATGGGCAGGGTGTACGAGGTCGGCTTAAATCCATATATGCCGCAGACTCCGGCAGGACATCGTACACTGCCTCCAATATCTGTCCCAACGCCAAGAACGGAACCTCTCATCGCTATAAGAGCAGCCTCACCGCCTGTGGAACCACCTGCTGTGAGGTTGATGTTGAAAGGGTTTAGAGTGCGACCCAAGAGCGACACTGTTTCCAAGTGCATAATTGACTGCGGCTGGTGCGTTTTGCAGTAGAAGACAGCACCCGCAGCCCTGAGAATGGCCATCATCTGGCAGTCCTCCGTGTCCAAGACCCTAGTATCCCAATATCCGGTCGCAGAATAATGTCCTGCTAGTGGCATGTGCTCCTTGACACTGATGGGAACGCCGTGAAGGGGCCCGACAGTCTTTCCTGTCTCTTCGAGATGGCGATCGAGTGATCGAGCGCGCTCAATCGCCTCGTCCATAAACCAATCAACCAGGCAGCATGTTAGCTGATGGGCAATAATTGCCCGTTTAGCAAAAGCCGTCGCGACCTCGACAGCTGTCAACTTTTTACTGCCTATCGCCTCAGCAAGTGCTACTGCATCATACTGCTCAGTGATTTCAAGTTCCTTGGCCGATAAGATGCCGCACTCTCGGGGGATCTTCGACACGTCTTTGGGTGGATCATCAATTAAAGCTTGCGGCAGACGAAGTTCTAATGGTACTTTGGCTGCAAATTCGTCCAGGACTTTATCCTTAAGTTCCTCAAAAGCTGGAGTACCCTTTGGCAGTGAAAGATGACTGCTCTTTGGCTGGACGATGGATAAAGAGACGGTAGACATTTTGTATTTGGTATTATGTACTGCCAAGCTTCATTGGCAGCAGAAGAGATAAGGCGCGCGGTAGGAGGAACTCTCTGTATGTGAGTGAATCGAGGGCATGATATGAAGCGAGGACTGCTTGACTCAGCATAGAAGCGACGGATAAACTTCAATATACATCTAGCTGTGTTGGTGTTAGTTAGTGACACATGACGTGTCGGGTATCTTGACCTCATCGCGCACCTTTTGGCGAGGTTTCAATGTGGTGGGGATCTGAGGGGGTCTCATCATATCGAGAGTAATAAACGCTAACTCGCCAATGTGGCCCCGAGAGATAAGAGCTAGGATCATGGGTTCAGACTTCAGATGTTCAGGTCTATGAATGTGTACCAAAGCTTAGCTTTCTTCAACTTTGTTCTCTGCCATGAAATCGACTTGCGTCACGAAATAACCACCCAAAGCAGACAAAAACTGGTATAACTGAATATTGAGAGTCCCCCGCCCATCGGCATAGATGTTCCAACACTACGTATCCATCTATCATTCTGACGGTAGAATGGTGACCCCCCTGCAGATCTCGCTTACACGTCCTTATCAACGTGCCTTCTATGGACAGGATACGCAAGTTGATAGCGTATGACCTGTGATGTCAGAAGTGTGGGCCAAAGTAGCATTTCATCATCCCCGGCTTCGGATATAGAAGTCCACGGACTGGGGAGACCGGCTCTCTAACTCAGGGCCTTGAATGTGATGAGGTGAGTAGTGCGATACCTGATTAGCTGCTCCTAGGATAAACCAGCAGGTTGGCGGAGTCGGGAGACCGAACGCCGACTCTCGGTATAGGATCGGATAGAAGGATGTCCATTAATAATAGATAACGTTGTATCACCTTTGCGACCCCTCTTTGTGCTCAACAGTAAGATGAAGATATCGTGTTTTATCGCCGGGAAAGCCGACTAAGCCATTACGATCATAGGCCCCCTTGCAGTGGTATCGGGGTGAGACACGACTCGGATTGTAGATATAAAATGGGTGGAACTGGTTGCGCGTAATCTCTCCTAAGTGAGACTTCCCTCTCCTCCTCTCTGAATATTCGATCTAAATTCAAGTGCTGAAGCAGAACTCATATAATTATCGCCAATTTTCAAATACCAAGGTCCGTTGTGAAGCCAACAATGGCGAAGTCAAAGGACCAAGTTGCCATTCCTGGCACTGTCCACCTCGTTGATATGCCGGGCCAACATTCGTCAGGCAAATCAAAAGGTGGCATCGAGCTCATTCCTCGACCGAGTGATGACCCTGAGGATCCACTGAACTGGACTCCTCGACGAAAGAAGCTCTCTGTACTCATGGTGCTCGTTTACACTCTGGGAGTTGGCCTGCCAGGCACGCTCCAATATTCCGTCCTGGCCGACATCACCAAAGATACCGGCATCTCTACCGCAGCGCTCGTCCAAGGCACCGGTGTCATGTTTCTATTCCTTGGCTGGGGCTGTCTAATTTGGCAGCCGATTGCATTGACATATGGCCGTCGCTGTGTATACCTCATTTCTACCCTCGTGGCAGTTCCCCTCATGGTATGGACTGCCTACTCGCGCTCGGCAGGGGAATGGTACGCCCACCGGACCTTGCTTGGTATCTTTGTCGCGCCCATCGAGTCCCTCCCTGAAGTGAGCATCCCCGACGTGTTTTTCGCCCACGAACGTGGCTCGTGGATGGCTCTCTATGTGTTCGTTCTGTTCGGCTCCAACTTCCTGGCTCCTCTTGTCGCGGGATGGTTTGCTGAAGCGTTTGGCTGGAGGTGGACCATGCACTTTGGCGCCATGGTCGCTGCCGTCTCCTTTGTTATATTGTTCTTTTTTCTAGAGGAGACGATGTACGTTCGTCAGACTCTTGAGGGCTTGGAGGAAGACAATATGGATGTGGCAGCCAGCGACGGCATGCAGCAGGACGGTTCTGTGGACTCAAAAGAGAAGACATCTGGACGAGGAGACAAGGATGGCGCTGAGACTGCAAACGTGCACAACGGAACTGTTTTCGCACCCCCGAAAACGTTTGCACAAAAGTTGGCGCCATTTTCGAGGCCTTCCGGTCAGCGTCCAAACATGCGAATGTTCAAAGCCATGTTCACGCCCCTTGTCTACATTGTGCAGTTCCCCTCGGTTGCATGGTCAGGTTTCATTTACGGCATCAACCTATCCTGGTACAACGTGCTCAACGGGACTGCCAGTCCGGTTCTAAGCGCAGACCCGTACAATTGGTCGACCGGTTTAGTCGGTTGCATCTACACCGGGCCAATTATAGGTGCTGCCATTGGAACACTATGGTCCGGGATTGTTGCTGACCGGTTCACCCTCTATCTCGCCAAGCGAAACAATGGAATCCGCGAACCTGAGCAACGTCTGTGGCCCCTAGCGTTATCCGCAGTTATGTCGTGCGTAGGACTCATCACCTGGGGTGTTGGGGCGGCACATGATATTCACTGGGCGGGACTGGCGATTGGACTCGGGATACTGACATTCGGCTGTGTAACTGGTGGTTCAGTTGCACTGTCATACAACATTGACTGCTTCAAAGACATTAGCGGAGAGACGACCACATCTATTATCATCATCAGGAATACCTTGGGCTTTGCCATCTCTTACGGGATTACGCCGTGGTATACCAATATGGGCCTGCAAAATTGCTTCATCATGGCGGGCTTTCTCGCGTTGGGATGCACATCTACGTTCTTAGTTATGATTTGGAAAGGAAAGGCACTCAGGAAATGGTCAGCGAGGAGATACTGGAAGTATGCGGAAGATAGCTTCGGCCATTCCTAAACCTAGCAAAGTGTCCGCAATGGGGACACCGTTTGCACTATGATCCGGTTTAATCCTGAGCAATGTTTATATATATCATGTCCTCGTAGAATTTTACAGCTTGGAATCCTCTCTAGTTTGTGTTTCGAGAGATGAGGACATCTAGAATACTATGATACTTGACCAAAATCTTTGTGTGCTTGGATTCCAGTATTTCTTTTCAAACAAACTAAAACGACAGTTGATGTAACCGATAGTACACAGGACGAACTACCGTATCCCGGCAACATCAGTGGCTTATTTCATCTGCAACGGTTCAATTACTCCGTTTGGTCATTTACCATACAACGGCTACTTTCATTGATGTAATTGTTGCTTGGTAATACTGAGTAGTCCAATAGTTCAACGACTTTGTCGGGAGTTCCATTGAAGACAGCACCCCGTCGTTTTAGTCTGTGGTGTCCAATTGACCAACTCAATATTTATTTCTAATTCAATCCTCAGCTGAAATAATCTCATCGTGCCGTGGTGATACCCTCTAGTCCATGGATCTCTCAGCGGCGCATCTCTCAGCAAGACGTCAGCTGCCATAAATGGGCATATGGGAGAGCGAACAAAGGCACCCATGACGATCCATTGCCAGATCATAGGAATTTTTCTATGAAAAATTAACAAAGACACATGCTCTAAATTTCAAATTTCTACTTGTCAAGCCTGAGATGTAGATGTTGCCGACTTGATTATACAATACCGCCCCCAATCGACAATCTTGTAACCCCAATGAGCCAATAAGCCACGGCTATCCACTTGCCCACCTCACTGATTTTCATATGAGGGTATCCGCATCCTCTCAGCTCAGCTGTCTGACCGTTGTCCGATGAACATTATACGAATTTTCACAAGTCCATCCTCTCAATGGATCCGCTGTCCAATTACCACCCATAGCAGCCCGCTAATGCGTCCGTAAGCAGGCATATCTTCCAATGTGGCGTCGGCAGTGAGATTCGATGGATCCATCGCTGGCACGCTTCGGCATTGCTAATGCACATCGCACTCTCCTTCTGAATGAGGCAAGTGGATAGGCCCACATGCCTCGGGACTCAGATACTTCAGGGTCAAAGTGTCTGGATGACGGCGTGGAGTAATACGTGATGAGTCTACACCAACCTGACTTTCAAGGTGAATATTCACAATGCTTTCGAGGAGACACATAGATTAAGTAATTTCACCTAGGATTTATCTTTGCTCACATGAGAAATAAGGATACAATGCCAAGGAGTTGGTTGCCCTTTAAAACAAAATCTCAGGATTCCCAACGAAGGGAAAGGTTAGTCCCCAAACAGGTGATCCTCAAGATCTCTAGTGGCCAAATATAGACACTTGTATTTCATTTAATCCTATCTCAGGTAGTGGCACTGCATCAGAAAAGAATACGACATATGATGACAAGTGGCTACAAATTGTAATTCTATTTTCTGATGCTAAATGAGTGTGGTTCCTAACGGGAAACAAGTACTAAATGAGTGGACGTCACGACAAACCGTGACAAAATTATGAATAAGCAAAACAAACAAATGATCACCCTCTTGACAGCACATCTGCTACTTTCACCCCATCCCCGGCCCTGCATGAGCCACGGCAAAACACCACGTATTCAACCTATGGTAAGAACTAAGCCTCCGGGCAAACTGGCTAAAGGTCGTTCGACTTCAGGAAGGAAGTGATGACCTCGAAAGACCCGGTAGCGTTCTTATGGAAGAAGAAGTTGTGGCTGGTGTTGGGGTGCAAGTACGGCGTGAACTTGGCGTTTCTCCAGATGGTGCGGGCCGGCTCCTCAAAGATACCCTTGCACTCGCCATCACAAACAATGTAATCAGTTTCTCCAGTAATGGCCTAGTAAATCTTTAGTCAATACCAGGGGAGGAAATGGGCTATAATGGGCAAAGCGAAAGAGAAGACCCACCAGTGCAGCACCAGTAAACCCACTGGCGTCAAATTCTCCGTCTGTAAGAGTGAAGAACTCGGCGATACCAAAAGAATTCTTGTACTCCTCAGCGTAGGAAGTCGTGGGAATATCGTAAAACGGGTACTTGAAGTAGCTGTCAAAGTAGTTAGCAGTTGTTCCACCATCACAGGCCGATGCAAAACATTGCTGACTTACGTGTTGATCTGAGCAAATGTATCTGACCAGGTAAGCCACCCGGCGTCAAGAAGTCCAAAGCGCCTTGGGTTCTGCAGGGCAGCGATACGAGGGACAAAGGACCGAACCAGGCCCTTGAAGTTGAGGCCCGTTGTATTGTAGTTTATTCCAGTCAAAACAACAGCATCTGCAATAGTCGGGTTTTCTGCGACGGTGAAATGCGTGATGTAAGATCCATAAGAGAAGGACATGAGGGCCAGCTTGTCTGGCTTGCCAAAGTCGCCTGTATACTGTCCAGCTTTGACCTTCGTGGCCAACTCGACAAGAATAGCTTTGTGAATCTGGAGCTGGTTCGTAAACCCAGAGACCCTGCAAATCAATCAGCAAGCGAGGCTCTGTTAGATTCGAGATTGCCACTCACCTTGAAGACTCGCCGTTACCGAGGCGATCATAGAACCAAACTGAGTATCCTTGATCAATGGCGTGCTGGACAAAGTTGTACTCGTCAGGTCGGTAGGCCGAGTTCCAATGGGTACGAGCTTGTCCGATTCCATGAGTGGCAAGAATAACTGTCTTGGAGCCCCCGTTCTTGGGAGTACAGAAAGATGCTGCAATGGTGTACGTTGCAGTTTCGTTCTTGGTTCCGACGACTGGGCCCGGGTAGTTGGCGCTGTCTCGCGTTGTCGCCTTGCTCAGGAAGTCCTGGAGCGCGTAGTCGTCTTCCCATTTGGGGAAGTCGAACACCTTGTTCTGGGACGTGACAGTAACGGGAACTTTGTATTCCCAACAGTTGGCCGCGGCTGGATAATACGGCTGGGTCAATGGCCGGGCCTCTGGCTGAGAATCGGCCAGGACCATGCTACCAGAAATGGCAGAGGCAAGAAGAGCTCGTGGGAAGAGCATTTTGAAGGTTTTCAATGGAGAATCAAGATGTTGATATTAATGAATAAGAAAAGAAACCAATTAGGGAAATGAGAGAGTGAAAGATGATGGTCGATGTGTTGGAGTGGTCATTGCCCAGATGCGAGCGTGGCAGCACGTCTTTATACTTGGATTCGCCCCTTTATTTAGGACAACTCACCTCTTTGATGAATACAGTGTATCTTCTTCAACATCGTGTTGCCACAATTAGCATGATGGCTTCGACGCTTTGCATGATGATAGTGGGTGGCTATACTCGACGGCTTACACGCCGCGGCCCACTTAGAGCGCTGACAGCTGAACAATTGAGGGTGCAGCTCGAAGCTTGTTGCCCGAATTAGGGCATCGTCAATGCGAAGATGAGATGGGAATCTTAGTCCGGCAGATACTACACAAGGTGCGCCCTGAGTGGTGGACTGCCCAGCTGAAAAGAGTCTTCACGTGTGTCAGCAATGGCAGCCCAAGATGGATAAATAGCCCTCCGGCTCCCCAAGCTGGAAGGAATGCGCGAGCCCCCACAACCCTCGGCATCGATCTCTTGTCCTGGGGACCGAGTGTTGTGCATCCCGCCTATCACGTCCGGCCTCACTCGCTGTCCGCCATGGTTGGGGTCCCTGGGCGCAGCAAGGCCTGCACTACTTGCCGAAGGCGCAAGGTCAAATGCGGTAAGCAGGAGAGGAGAGCTCGGCATTCAGCCCTATGACGGAGATTGTTCGTACATACTGACGCGGCCACCGACAGATGAGGCCAAGCCCACTTGCCAGCGCTGCGCAAAGGGCGGGTTCGAGTGCCTGGGATATGTCAAGAAAAAGATATGGTTTCACACGTCCACAGCACCGTTCCCTGGGCAGGCTTCCTCGTTGTCGGATGCCCGGCGGATGAGGCTTGTGGCCGGGCGTGCGCAAGCAGCATCGCCCCCGAGCGAGCTTAGCCTTATCGCGTTCAAGGACGATTTTTGTATTAGCTTCACCTTTGCCAATTTCGTCTGGCGGTCGTACGGCTCCCCATGGCTCGAGCAGGCAGCCCAGGGCAAATTGGGTGCTCTGGCCCTCGATGCGACGCGAGGTCTCTCGCAGTCCAACTTTGGGAAAGCCAACCACCAGTCAGTGATTGAACTCGAGGGCGTGCAGCGATATAGCACGTGCCTCAATATCCTCAGGGATGCCCTCATGATTGGGGTAACAGGGGAGCTCTTGGTCCCCATTCTCATCATGCTGATTCACTCGGTAAGATCTTGAGTCATTGTTTTGATCCAGTGTGCCTGATCCGTGGTAGCAACTGACAGGGAACAGTCTTCCAATGCCGATCGTGCCGGATCAATGTTTCATCTCAAAGGAATTGCACACCTGCTCAATATTGTTGGCCCAGAGGCTTTCCAACAACAGCCATTGATGAACGCTTTCGAATCTGCAAGAGGGACGCTGGTATATAAATCCATGATCTGCCTCGAATGAAATAAATATCAGTGACACTAACATCATCTCTAGATAATCGCCAGTCTGATGAGCAAACAACGCCTGTTTCTTGATGAAGAGAGATGGCGAACAGTGCCATGGGCGCGCAATAGCCACCTGAAGACGCCACAGAGCGAACTTGCGGACATCCTTGTTATTATACCGGGGATACTTCAGGACCATTCCAATCTAGAGATCGTAAATGACGGGCGTCCAGGGCGATTAGCCGACCTCCTGGACAAGGTGAAGGCGCAACTTACGAAGCTCTATGAATGGCGTTGGCGATGGCAGGTCCGCTCTGGCAAACTTGTCAGCGCAGAGGAGAACGAGCAGAATCGCACTTTCTCTGCCGGCATAGGTTCCTCTGATGTGCCGCATTACAGAACTCGCCTGCATTTTGCAACCTTCTCTGCCGCTGTGGAGTTGATGGTCTACAACGCCACCCAGATGTGGCTCCTTGCCCTGCTCTGGAAGATGGACCCTATGCACGCTGCCGGACACATCGAAAACTGCGCAAAGGCCGCCGCCATGTTTCATGCTGGTTGCTCAACGGCCACTCATGACTTCTACAAACCTCTCCGACGCCCTGGCGGAGCCGTCACTGTACGCGATCCAGCCTTGGAGGTTTGTCGGGCGTTTGAGTGGATCACCCATCATCATCATGAGAACAATGAGCCTGTGTTCTTGTACCTTTTCCCTATGGGCATGGCGATGAGTGTCCTGTATGGAAACCCTGCCGACGAGGCCTGGATTAAGGGGATGCTCAACAGGAGCCCGATCACGGCAAGCTATATCCAGTCGCAGGACGGGAGTGCGGCAAGCTTCGGTTGGTATTTGACCCTTGAAGCAATCCATCCTGAGTCAGTCCATGCGACGGAGCAGTTGTACTCTCCAGCGATTGAGGCTATGCCTGGAGACCCTTGAGCGATGACGACCGGAGGGAGTAGAAACGAATGATTTTCATCTTACATATGATGACGACATGGAATATGATTGTATGTAATCGGACGGAAAATAGTTGTTGATAATTAGATAATTTAGGGCTGGTTTCCAATATAGAAAAATTAGCGGTTTTTGTCTTATCACACAATGTAAGCTTCACGTCTCACACGAATTAAAGCTAACGGAATTGTTATTGATTCGTCGAGGTGGTAGACTGGCATGGTTTTGTCCTCTTGTCCCCAACACACATAACTACTTGAGCCTTCACTACCTTGAATTCTAACCAGCTAAAGCAATCCCTCAAACTAATACTAGTCAAGTTCACTATCGCCTCCTCTTTCCCAGCGCAGAGCAAAGACAACCTTAACAGCCGAGATTTTTCTTATCTTCTTGTTTGGGATTGGTCGAGGAAGAGTGTGCTTCGTCTGCATAATCACTCGTAAAGTAGAGCTTCAAAGAATCATCGACCGCAAAATATACACATTTGTCACATCTACCCTTTCGGACGCCCCATAGAAGGCCCTTTTGTTATCATACCACTCTGCACTCCGCCCCGTAGTGGGAGTGAGAGGCTGAGCATGTTGCATGGGAAGTACATTTGAAGCCAAATTATGGACATAAGGTTTCCCATTTGTTGCTTCGGCCAGCTCTCTCCAGGGGGGACAATTTAGTTCATCAGAAAAAGTGCCTTTCTGGATCCGAAGGTGAGCCAAATTTATTTACCAACTTAGGTAGATTTGATGACTGCATCCAATAAAGTACATCCACCGCGCCTCTTGTCTGTTTTTTAGCTTCACCCGTGTGATGCCGAGGGCCCCCGCTTACATGCTCATAGCCCCGTAACGGTTCAATGGGCAATAGGCTATTTTTTACCTATTTGGGTAGATTTGATGACTGCATAAGTCCATGAGGCGAGGTCTGCTCCACTGTATTATTTGCTCCCTTGAGCCCCCGAAAACCACCCTTTCAATTGAACGAAAAAGCCCATGAATATCTCCAAATACGACTCTTCCATGTGATACCAAATTCTTTTCCTTGTTATCAATCCACACATCATGTTAGATAGGATGTCAGGCTTGGAAGAGTGCAACTTGGGATCGATTGATCCGTAAGTTGGGGGAAAGTAAAATGAGGCCAGGATGTGTACAGTATGAACTTCAAAATAATGCTTGACGATGTTTTTCATTAGTAATAAAAGTCTACTCAAGAAGCATAATTTCATTAGCTATGCAAGTTTAAATAGATTTCCTTTTAATAAATGTAAAACCTAGAATTTCCAGGCCATGAAAACTGAATATTGTGAGGAACGGTTGGGTCTACAGGGTAGGTCAGATATGCTGAATGGCAGCCTGGGAATGAGTCATCCCCGAAATCAAAACAAATCTGCCTTGCCTCACGCGTGTCAGCCTGTCACCCAACTTATAATATTCTCGTCTCACTATCAATGACTTCTTCACTCCCTCATCTCTTTCTCATCTCCCCAGACCGGGAAATTGAAGAGGCGCATTGCAACGCCATCCTGTCGAAATGCCGAAGAGAAAGAGAGCCGCCACTCCTGAGGAGCCCGTAGACAGCGATGGCCCTATATTTTGGTACGGCGTTAACCACAAGTACGGCGCCTTCAGCCAGTTCTTCCCAGCCGCATTCACCGTACCCAAGGCCGATATCCTCAGAGTCCTGGGCCAGGTAGTCCCATCTCCATCTGCAGGGCAGAAAGAAGAGCTCGTTACGTTCAACAGGGCCGAGCAGTTCATGATGTACAGCAAAGCCATTTGTTTCCATGACCCCAAGTCCGCCGCACTCATTCTACGATCGCAGAACCCGAAAGAGCAGAAGTCCCTGGGTCGCAAGGTGGAGAACTTCACCGATCAGAAATGGAACGCCGTCAAGAGGGAAGTAGTCGAGCTCGGCAGCACCGCCAAGTTTGGCCAGAACGAGGATTTGCGGGCGATGCTTTTGGGGACAGGCGACCGTGAGCTGGTTGAAGCAGCACCGAGGGATCGAGTATGGGGGATTGGGTTTGGGGAGAAGAGGGCGAGGACTATGACCAGCCGGGAGAGATGGGGGCAAAACTTGCTGGGGAAGGCTTTAGTGAAGGCCAGGGAAAACCTGCGCAAGGATGAGGAGGGCTTGGAAAACAAACCTGAGCCAGAATAGCTACATTCATGCATACACTCTTTGCGGCCCTGTTGGATCGAATTCATCCGTGTTTTGGAACGAGGGCTTGATTGGAAGCAGATTGAAGTTGTTGTTTTTAGGCATGAGATCGTGCGATTTTTTATCTTTTGTAATAGTCCTTGCCTTTTCCTATGACATGATTGGTATCAGCGTTTATTATACATGACATTTCATTGCCATATTTTCCGGGAGTCAATCAACATCTCATATTTCAGAGTGGGAATGTCAAAATTAAATGCACTGTTCTCTACACTGGAAAACAAGTTATTATAAAAATCAATGGGCCTACTCACGTGTAATAGCCAGTCATGATTATTCACTCTTGTCACACTAGATGTCAAATGTATTGAATGAAGGATAGTCTGTAGCTAGGTGTCTTGAAATAGCAGACAGCTTTAAGGCCATGATGGTGAAAAGAGGTTGCAAGATTACCAGATATGAAGATTCTCCTCCCGCAGGTGCTTTGACCTGCAGCCTCACCATCCATGCCACTTGTTTCTACCTTCATTTGTCCCGCGGAATCTTGAACCCCGAAGTTCGCAGCCTTTGGAAAACTCTATGGGGATCGTACTTTGCCGAGGCAGCCTGCAGTTTGCCAAGCGCCTCCTCGCCAACTGTGGCAATGGCATCCTGACTCCCGTGCGCATAATTTAGATACTTCCACTCCCGCTCGAGGTCCAGTTCCTTTGCGTAAGCCTCAACATCTCTCACAAGCGCCTCAGCCCTGGGAATCGCCAGCCGCTCCACCTCAGCGTGGTCTGTAGATACGATAAGTAGGAACAGAATGCCGTTTCCATCATCGACGTAGCGATCTAGACCCATAACATTGCCCCCCTTGGCGATGCTTTTCTCAATGATGGACTTCGTGACCGGTTGGACGGTGTAGACCGTTGTGAAGTTTGCGCTTAGGGTCAGGGTGATTTCTTCGAGCTCGGCGTTGAGTTTATTGACCTTGTCGAGAGCGTACTTCATCGGTCGTGGGTCATTCTTGAATGATGCGGTGATGAACATATTACTGCCACTCCGATTAGCTACTGGAATATTCATGCTCGTGGATGATTCAAACTCACCGGAATCCCATGGGCTGACCCTCCGAGAGCTCCCTAGAGAGTGCCGACATGGTGTCAATCCTGGTGGTGTCGTTGAGGGCGGCCCCAATCCCGTAGAAGCCGTTAAAAGCCTTTGGCTTGCTCAGGCCGAGGGTGTTTTCAATGGAAACTAGACCTACCATACCTCCCGCCAGTTTAGGCTGGTACGAGAAGGACACACTGGCCGAGCTGTTCTCGTCTTTGTACACATTATCAGTGAAGTCTACTAGAGCGTTGATAAGATCACTCCCCGACTCCGATCCAAATATCATATTCCCTCCCCAGATAATTCCCTCCGAGGGACCAGCGAGCTCGATCGGGAACATGTCGAAGCGCGTAACGAGGCCCAGGTTGGCGCCGGCTCCCTTGAGAGCCTGCCACAAGTCCGGGTTGTCCTGGGCATTGGCGTAGGCGATGGAGCCGTCAGCAAGCACCACCTCGTAATTAGCGATTGTGTCGCAAGCCCACCCGTGAGAGGCGGCGAAGAAGGAGATGCCACCGCCGCTGAGGAAGCCGCCCACCCCGACGGAGCCGGCGCGGCCTCCCGCGACGGTGATGCCGTGGGGTGTGAGCACGTCGTATACGTCCTGCCAGCGACCTCCGGGTTGGATGGACACGAGGCCTGTATCTGGGTTCCAGGTGGTGGCGTTCATGTGGCCTGAGATAAAGGCTGTTAACAATGTACGATGGGTGGTATTAGAAACCGTTTTCGGCGTATGCAACATACCAAAATCTATCGTGATGCCCTTCTCTACGCTGTTGGAGAGAGGATGCGAGCTATGCCCGCCGCTCCGAACGCCAAAGGGGCAGTTATTCGCTACCAAATCCTTGACAATGAGGGACACGTCTTCGGCTGTCGAAGGCAGCAACATGCACCATGGCTCCAGGGCAGCACTCTTGGAGAAGTAAGTCTCCATCCGGTCCGCGTAGGTATCGGACCCAGGCAAGTAGACCTTGCCGCGGAGCTCATCGATGCTTTGGAGCGCATTGCACTATATGGTATTTGTTGTTTAGCATCGCTGAACATGCGATGTGCAAACTCAACGCATCAGGAAGATGAAGGGGTTCGAAAGACATACACAACGCGGGATGCGGGTTTGGTTTGCTGTTGCAAAGGCAACTAATCCGCCAAGGAGTGTAAGAATATTGAACAACATAGTGATATGATCTTGCCAAAGTAGGTAGGGTTGGCTGTACATTTGTGACCTTGTAATCTTGGATCTATACTGTCGGCGGCTGGTTACTTATAGATGGCCTCAATCGCTAGCAGCCGACAAGATACCTCCCAAAGCTGTGTTAACTAAGATCATCTGTTGATTATGACAGCTTTTCCAAACCCGAGCTCGAATGCGAAGAAATGCGACGAATGCGAAGCTCACACGGCCCCAGAGCCTTTGGCCAGTATCGCTGACGTGTGCGCCTAGCCTTTCATGAATCTGACATCCGTGTGCGGTGATCCATGCTAAGTTAGACGTAGAATTCATGGATGTGATTTGATCGGACATCTTTCGACGTTGCATGCCCCGAGATAGTGCTCAGCCCAAGACTTTAGGATGCCTACATACTTTCGGTATCGACGATAAAGGCCAAGTTGGCCGCAGCACTCAACTATTACAGGCTAACAAGGTATTCTAGGCCTATATATGAGTTGACAAGGCTATTGCCAACTCATTTCATCTCTCTTTCCCGCACAATTAGCCCGTTTGGCAACACCTCAAGTGCCAAGGATAAGGTCCCCGGCCAACAGAGCGATCATTGGGGCCAAACCAGTCTATTGATCGATGAGAAGGTCACTCCACTCTTTTCGAATTCCAGAGTCTAGTTATCAGGCTGGGCTGAAGCGATCCCTTCCCGTCTAGTCCGTTTCCTCGCTTCTGAAATGCGACATGCATCGCCAGATCATGGGTCAGCAATGGCCCGCTTACATATGAAAAAAACCACCGAAGATCACCTGAAGCCACTATAGCGTAACACAGGTATGCTTATCACGCCGGAAAAGGGATAAAGGAGGAGCTTTACGTTGAGAGGGAAAAATTTATCTAGAGCAGCGAATTAACTGAACATATATCTATTTATCTAGAGTAAGTCTATCTATTGAGGGACGATTTTTCTGCATATCTAAGTGAAGGAGCAAGGCAGTTTTTAACGAATCTTCTGACACCACTTATCCGTAGGTGCTATGTGATTGGATAGCACGCTTTCCGTTTTGACAGACTCACTGTCAGAAATAAAGTTCAGAGCATTGTGAGACGGATTCAGCTCCGAGGTTGAACCGAAGTTCATTATGTAGATAATTACCGAGTGTCGAGTGACGTCTTCGTTTGCTAGGAATACGATTCCCCGCACCATCATTGAATCCATGAATATCGTCTTGTCCAGGGCCAGACTCTGCTCCTGAAATCGGCATTCGTCTTTCCAGCATTACATACGGGATCTTCTGGGTGCTTTGCTATGCATCTTCTAAGCATTCCTGCGGAGGTCCGTCTCCAGATCCTTTCGGAACTCCTCGTCCAAGAAGGCACCATCCACTTTGATGCGAGGTACGGCCCTCGCAATCCGCGCCTGATTCGAACAACGCAGGGCCTCTTTTCAACGCTGCTTCGCGTGTGCAAGAAAATTAATCAAGAGGCCATACGGTTACTCTACTCCAACAACCGCTTTCAATTTCCGAATGCGTTCACCACATCGTGGAACACTGATGTACCATACATTGCGTCCTTCGTCCAGCAAATCGGGTCTAATGCAAGCTTTCTGCGATCTATTCGTCTCGACTTCCCAACCTCATTTGCTGATAGGAAAGCGTATGTCCTTTACAAGGAGTACATCGACGTCCTGCAACTTATCAGGGATACTTGCACAAATTTAAAAACTATCGAGATATCATCTCTTGAACTCCCTATTTGGGATGTTGATTCCGCAGCAGGGATGTTAAAAGCAATAGATGACGGTGGACTTAAGGAAATGCACTCACTGGAGGAGATTATTGTGATTCAAGGGGAGCATGAGATTGATGACGAGATTGTGGCGGATTGCGAGGCCTTGAGACATAGGGTACCGAGCATCAAATGGTTAATCGAGCTAAGGAAACTCCCACCCAGAATTTGGATTTCTGCAGATGATAGGGTTGAGTTTGACAACGCAGAGGATTGCTCTAGGTATGAGGAGGAGGTGATTAGGAGGGAACAGGAGAGGTTTGAGAGAGAAGAGGATGAGCAGTGGTTGGAGGAGTACTACCGCCGCAGGAATGACCCATATTGGAAGAATGATTCAGACTACGATTAATTTTCCCCTGAATAGCTAGGTATCATGACCAAGGTATAACCCACCGTTTCTTCATAATTGGGTGGAGATATGGGGCTAGTTATCGTCCACTGCAGGTTGGTGAACACAAGTGCATTGAGAACTGGTTCTGTAATAGTAGCCTAGATAGACTCCAAGATTCTGTTGAGTTGATGAATGGTCCCCATTCTTTATTCGTCAAACTATGAGTCAACTGTCGCAAAGTGAGACAGCGAATTTGGACAGCTTCTTCTCGTAGCTATGAAGGCCACCTTGTAAGATCAGAGGTGGAAAACATGGCCGCCATAGGGTAGAACCATTTCACGCACATTATCACTATCACCCCTGCAGTAGGTGAGTACGCCTTGCAAATATGATATGGCCTTTGCATATGATTTTTGTGAACTAGGACTGAGCTCACTCAGCCACTTGGCCTGGTGAAGTAAAAATCGGGATTGGACGACGGCCAAGTTGTACCCTCACACTATATTACTCATTACTGCAAGGATCAAGATGCGTAACCTCCATGTAACCAAGAAGTATTGTCAATTAACATGAAATTATTCACTCGTCCTCGCCTTCCTCCGAGACTTTAAGCTCCAAATGCTAATCATATTCTTATTGATTTATAACGCCGTCAGAAACTCAACGTCAGACTGCTAAAGGCAATATATCACGCATGAAAACTAGGCTGAGGGAAATTCATCTCATCGCAATGAGGATTCGAAATCCCGTAGGATAGCCGATGATACGTTATGAGAAGGTTAATTCGCGACCTTGGGCATGCCATCTAACGCACATTGCAACACAAGTAAATTACTCCCATATGTGTTCAAAACTGCTCAGATTTCGAAACAAAATCCTAGCTACTCTAGTGTCGTGTACTTATCCTCTAATAAGATCTAAAAAGGGAATTCTCAATGTCGATTAAGCTTCAGAGGCGGCGGATGACGTGTATTATCATTTCTGTCATCCTTTCTTTCTGAATATGGATGCACTTTAGGAAGTTCGGAGCGCAATCCCGAGCTCTCTCACTCCAAACCGTAGTGAAAAGGCATGGCTGGGGCCTGATTGCTCTCTCCCTGGTGCCGGTAGTTCAGTGTCAAACGCGAGACCCCACAAATCATCGACCTGACTGACTCGAAAATGTGGGGGAAAAGCTTGTTGGGAGTAAATCCGACGTCGATTGGTTGCTCTCATTAATCCTGCCACCTTAATATAAGTCTATATCCCGGGCGTGACGTGACCCTGCCCACGAGTCGGGTTGAAGCTGACGGGTTGCCTCCTTGCCACATTCCGTGAAATAAAAGTGCCAAGACACGAGACACGATGGCCCAATGAAAGCTTTCAATTTTGACTGACTAGGAAACGATCAACTTCGGGGCGGAGTATAAGACATGATTTGTCGGAGGTCCTTTCCTTCTGTGTAGCGGTGGATGTCGTTCCGTGTAAATTGAGTGGAACAAGCTTTCAAACAAGCTTTTCTCATTTCCAAAGTTGCAGGGGACCGGTTGGCTGCCTCTTTTCTCTGGGGCTGAGGCCTGCTGTTTCACAGCTGTTGTTTCACAGGCACTCCTGAAGTGTTGCATTGCACTGCCATCAATCAACAGGTAGGATAATGTGGTTACGTATGCGACTGTCCAGTGGGTTGGTTATCATCTACAGCCAAACCAGGTTCGCGTTTCAGGTTTCCACTGCAAGAGGTTGTGCTGACGAATGCCTCCGTCCTGGAAATGTGGGAACCAACCGTCGATCGTCAATCTTATGCTTCTTTTTATGAAACAATGCTTGGCTAACAACGGTGCGAGTATATAATATGTAGTTTGCATAAAGCAGGAATTGAGACAGCAGAGAAAATCACAGGGGGAGAATGGGAAGAAATGGATGAGCGGACGGAGCGTATATACCAAAATATAACGAAATAGCGAAATAGTTCTTAGAGAAAGCGTGTAGCAACCAAGGAATAACAAGCGCCGCTGTTGGGAGGCCGCCTCAACCCAGCATCAAGGTGGGAATAAGGGATGGAACAAGCTTTAAAACACCCCCTGCACTCGGAACTGCTGAGCAAACGTCACCAGATGGGAGATGGGGGTATGTGTGATACGAGCTTTCACCGGCAAGTGGGAGGATACCCCTGACAGAACCCGATGGCCAGAATCGGAGTATTGACGGCGGTTGAGCACAACGGAAAGATTTCAATCGACCTCAACTATAAAGCCCTCGATCATTCCTGTGGATGAATATTTCCTTTTATTGTGTTCCCTAGCTTCCTCATCAATCTCATCCTTTCGTTCTTCCTTAGAGCTCATTTTATCGTTACAAGCTGTGCTTGAACATCCCGCGATATACTCTGACCCAGATCCTCAAGCCGGCTTGACTACTGGATTATTCTCGCATTTGCCTGAATCACACTTTTTCCTCCAAAATCAACAACACCAACACTACCTTCAAGATGCAGTACCGTATGATCATGGTGGCCTCGATGGCCCTTGGCACCGCGTACGCCTTCCCTGCCCAACCGCAGATCACGCAGGCTCCCAAAGCCACACGCGACCTCTCCAAGCGTGCACAACCCGATGCTGCTGGCAGCAGTGTTCTTGACGCCCCAATGACCATCGCTGCTGGTGAATCCTTTGATGGCGGTAATGTCATGTACGATCGCGGTACCAGCTGCACAGGCCAGTCCGAAGGAGGCAGCTCTGACGCTGTGTTCATCCTTGAGAGCGGTGCCTCTCTCTCCAACGTTATCATCGGTACTTGAGCTTTTGGACCCTTTCTTCGCTATACTAACTTGACTTGGCTGACGACTTCTCTTGTAGGCCCTAACCAGATTGAGGGTGTCCATTGCAACGGCGGTTGCACGATCACTAGTGTCTGGTGGGACGCTGTTTGCGAGGATGCCTTCAGCATCAAGGAACAGGCTGATGGTGAGACTACTACCATCAATGGTGGTGGTGCCACCGGTGCCAGCGACAAGGTCATCCAGCACAATGGCGGTGGAACCGTGTCTATCAACGATTTCACTGTCTCCGACTTTGGGAAACTGTACCGGAGCTGCGGCAACTGCGATGAGATGCCTGCACGTCATGTTATCGTCTCTGGTGGCTCAGCTACCAACGGTGACGTCCTTGTTGGCATTAACTCCAACATGGGTGATACGGCTAGCATCTCTGGCGTCACTACCAGCGGAGTCGACGAAGAGTGTGTTGACTACGAGGGTGTCACTGATGGAAGTGAGCCAACCAAGATCGGCGCCTGCTCCAACGTCGATGGAGGTGGTAGCTCTGGCGGATCTAGCAGCGCTTCCACCACTCCAGCTGCTACCAGCACCTCGGAGTCTGGTTCTTCCCCCACGTCTGCCGATGATGATGAAGAAGAGGAGAAGACGACATCTACCTCCAAGTCTAGCTCTTCTCCCACATCTGCCAGTGGCGATGACGAGGATGAGAAGGCTACCTCTACCTCTGAGTCTTCTTCCAAGCCCACAGGTGGGTCTGATGATGATGAAGAGGATGAGGATGAGAAGGACGAGGACGAAAAGGAGGATGAGGATGAGGACAAGGACAAGAAGAAGAAGGAATAAGCCGATGATCAAATGCTATTCCTCGGTGTTTAGCTTGCTTAATCTTCGTCTTTTACCGTCTTGATAATACCGCCAGCCAGAGTCGGATACACGCTACCTGGCCCCTGTTTATCATTTTCCATAGAGCGACGTATGACCGTCAAAGCCATCCGGATATAGGTCCAATTCTTCTTGACTTGGAAGACTATCAGACAATGGTAATATTACAGTTGCTATCCTTAACCGTCATGAATTTTTCTGTGAAGAGTGCCGTATCATTTCTCTAAGAAGCCTTCTTCCTCCCAAGCCAGAAGAAGTTTGCAGGAAAATAATCGCACGCCCGCATTTGAAACACTCAATATGCGCAGTAACTCATGGCTGAAGATGGTTTTGTGATTCATCATTTTGCTTACAGCATTAATTCCGTGGACTGTTACCTTCTTATCCCGTGGATTGTAACCTTCCTGGTGAAGCGGAAAAAAGGGAACACACGTAAGCCCACACGCTGAAGGAATCACTCTCCATGGAATCAGCCGAATTTGACTTTCAAGTCCCGAAATACTACTCTGTTTACGCCTCGAGCAATCCTAGTGGCTAATGTACCGAATCCCATGCTGATTTATGCTTCATGCCGACACTGTAACCATCCAAAGGCAAATTCTCACGTTTTGTTGGAGGGCACAAGATCGACACAACCGAAATGCAGACTGTCTGAAATAAGACTGGGGACAGCAGTGTGGACGACCAAAGGGGTTGTATCCAACGAGACCATGGCAGGGTTGATGCCCTCTCGCCTCTGCTTATTGCCGCAAGAGGAGAGGCCACACCCGGTTTGTCGCGCCATTTGACAAATGGACACTTGCCAGTCAATGGGTGGTAAGATGGGTGACCCTACATGATTCTCATTTTCCCCATTAGATGGAAATGTGCTCCCACTAGTCCTCAGTTCCGGCAACTTGGCGCGGTCTCTGAAGTCCTCGATTACTTTGAAGAATCAGATTCTACAGAGCCATGCTTTCAGGCGAAAGTCGAACTTTGGTTGAAACAGACATCGACTTAATCAAGCAATATGCTGCATTTTTCCCTATAAATATGATGGATTGGTCATCATGCATTAATAAACTTTATCTCTGGTGAGAGCGAAATGGATCTTTTGTCCCAAAGGTTAGGTACACGCGTTCCTCCGATAAGAATGTTCAAAATATGCCTCGCAACATATCGAAGAGGGTGTGTGCCAGGTCACTGGGGCAAAAGCGTTCCATCCAATGTAACCACCGATAGCTGTTAGAAGTAGTGCTGCCAGACGGTACACTATAGAGGTACTATTTAGAGTCCTCAATGCATGAGCACGGTCGACTGAGAAAGCGAGTTCTGGGAGTCGAGGATTGGCACATCTCTTTTTAGTTCCTTGTTTAGTAAAACGCGCCGAATAGGATCCAACAAGGCATGAAAGCTATTTCAGCCCTACAAAAGTGCGATTTGGACAGGGGAAACCTGCTGCATTTACTTCGGTATAAAACAAGATCCAGCCTGGGCTGTTGAAAGATGCCTCCAAGAGAATCTTAGCTCTCCTGGATTGCTCGCAGCATGTCAGCAAGAGACTGAACTTCAGTGGTTCGCTCGGTCTCAGCACCTGGCAGTCCACCCTCTTGCTTGGAGTAACAGGGGCCCCTGACAGGGACCATTATCTAAATCGGGGGCGAGTGTCATTGTGCTAGTGTAATATTCAGCCCACCAACATCTCTTATTAAAGATCTCGCACCATCTTTCCATGCAACATCAATCCGCTTCTAGTGGTAAGATTCCTTCCCTCCGTTATTCAAATCGCCGAACCTGAAGTTCTGATGGTGATATTCGACAGAAAATAGATGCGCATATGCTTATTTTATTCTCTCAGCATGTGATGCCAGGCAGTTGCTTCGCCCCCAACGGTAACCCCAGCGCGTGAGTTTGCCCAAATGGATGGCATCAAGTGGCACAGACAGCATCAAGCGGCACATTGGATGCAACTGTTGCGAAAAATAAGTTCTATGTTTCTACAGAATATCTCGACGAGTATTTGAGTATATATTGTACCTTGATCTGCTCCAAATCGTAGCAATATCTTCTCCCAATCAGCTCACTTTCATCCACTCTTCAAGCTTTCTTACCAATTGGTTACAAGCTTAGCTTTTCATTAAGTCTCTATTTGATACTATCGCATTTCCTTACAACACTCTTTACTTTGTACAAAGTTTATTCTTTTCATCTACCAACTCAAGCAAAGTTACCGGTCAATATCCATTCACAATGGTTGGTTTTGCTCATGTTACTGCTGCCGGCATTGCCATCCTGAGCACGCTGGGCAACGTTGCTGCCTCTTCCGGCCCAGCTGGGGATGACGCCTCCATGGAAGCCAGGGACATCATGGAGGATGTCGAAACTCGTGCTGTCTTGGATGGCGACGACTCTGATGTGGCTGCCCTAGACAAGCGCCTATTCCCTCTTCTTGGACTTGCCGCCAAGGCCGGTATCAAGGCTGGTGCCAAGGCTGGGGCGAAAAAGGCCGCCAAGAAAGGCGCCAAGAAGGGTGCTAAGAAGGGTGCGAAGGAGGCCGGCTCGCACAAGGCCAAGGAGAAGCACCGCGAGCATAAGAACAAGAAGAACAACAAGCCCAAGAAGAACAACAAGCCCAAGAAGGGCGGCAAGAAGAAGGGCCGCCGATCTCTGGATGATGAGTACTCTGTGCTTGATGCCAGGGATATCCTGGATGAGTTTTCTGAACTCAACTTCGATGCTCGCGACTTCGATGAGGACATCCTCCTGGAGGCCCGCAGACTCGGCGGCCCAATTAAAGTTGGTGGTATGTTCTTGAACCGGCACAGGAACGGCGGGAAACTCCCCCGGCCTGCTGGAAGTCGCAAATTGAAGACTGGCAAACGACCGTCCAGGGCCGGCGCGAAGAGACCTCGATCCTTCGATGAGGCTGCGGAATTTTACGAAGAGTAACTTCATATAAGAAGATAGATTCTTCTTGAGCGCCATCCACCATGAATCGAAAGAAAACGGCCTGGAGATTGATGGCTTTGTGACCCTTCAAAGGTCCTCTATCTGGTTATTGGGGACTTTTACAGGTCTTGTTGTCAGTCCCAAGAGTACTCTGCCTTATCATGAGCATCATGGGATAGACAGTTAAGATGGCTCGGGCTACATTGTGATTAAAGGGAACGGAGGAATACTGGCGAGTTCTGGAGGCTGGTTGTAACATTTATTCTAGTTCTATGCAGTATAGGCTTAAGTGATAACCTCCTATAGAGATATAGACTATATACATTTGCAGAAACCATCTCGTGCTATCCTTGTGATTTCGCGAGCATTGGTCTAGGAATGCAACAGAAAGTAAGAAGTTCCCTTACACTGATCCTAGCCTTCAAGACACGCGTATCAATACCCTCGCGACAAATGCCCCATCTAATCCATACTAACAATATATTCATAGAAACTAAACTGAACCATACTAGAAATATACACTGCCAATCATACCTGTTAAGCCAGCCAGTCCAGGTATTTAAACCCAACCTTGCGGCAAAAGTGGTAATCGCTGAATTGAGGAATGACTGTTCCTTTTCTCTTTCATATTATTGACCCTATACTGGACCATGAATCTCATGATACATACAAGAGTGAAAAGCAGGACGTGTTTGACATACTACACTGTCAACATGTCATCCCGCTCATAAAACACTTCCATCTTCTCACCGTCCATTTGACCACATGTTAAGAGGCTTGGCTTTGCCCGATTTTCAACAAACAACTTAACATGTTAAGACTAATATGGTTGTAGTGGCTTTTGTTCCTCCGCTTACTTGTATGCTATGGCACATTATACAGTCTTGAACTTCAATCCATAGCATTCCGGGGCGTCAGGAGATTGGCGGTTCGCAATCACCAAAGGCGAGTAGAACCACTCATCGTAAATAGGACATGTCTGGAACATCGTCAAAGGATCTATCGAAGGTGGTTGCGGCACAGTACAGTCCAAGAGCCCCCCGGTGTCGACCGAGCAATATACGTGAATGTAGCTCCGGATCGTTATCTCGAACTGGTCACTGCTTGATGTCAACATATCGGACGGATTACACACTAATTTGCACGTCGTTTCTGACGTTCAAATCAAGGAGGCTTTCTACAGAAGATAATGAAAATGCATGAATGACTTACAGCCAGTAGACAAGCTCGAACCCGGGCTGATATGGGGACACGGCGGCGTAAAGAACCTTCCCTCCTCCTGGTGCTTGTACGTGGAGTCGCCCGAGACAGTCGATGTTGAAGAGACCTCCGCCCACGGCTTGAGGCTTCGTTGGGATGTAATCGAGAGTGTAGAAAGGGTAATTCGGTAGGCCACGATTCGGTGCTGGCGTGGCGTACAGATTATTATAACTATCGGTGCGCGTCGCGGTGATATCGGAGACCTGGAGGTTGAAGCTTGATTTTGGATAATTGCCAGAGCAGCTCGTTACGGTCACGGTAAGAGTGGAATCGGGGTGTTCCGTAATCTGTAGGGCGAGTGTTCAGCACAAGACATATATGCAAGGTGGGGAGGGAGGCTGCTTCCTACATATGTGTATACACCCTGGACGTTCAAATTGGTTTCAGTAGTGGTCACGGTCTGCGTTGTAAATAGTGTCCCCGATGTCTATATGATCTTGGTTAGCCACCTGTACAAGTGCATGATGGCACGGAACTACCTTTTTAACAGTCGCGGTTACGCTTTGCCGACTGGTTTCTGTCACTGTCTTTGTCTTTGTGACAGCCCCAGTTGGTTTTGGAATGTAGCATGAGCAGGCTTGAGATACAACCGACTCGGGAAGGCCAAATGCCCCCCATGGTTTTTCAGAATCCTGCCCTGCGGCGCGGGGGGTAACTGCAGCCCCGAACGTTGATATTTGCGTAACTATCGAGCTACAAGTCATTTAGCATTACATATAGACTTCGAGCTAGCACTGAGGTGACTTGGGACATACTATTTGTAGGAGGTAACAGTATTTGTCAGGGTGACAGTTTGCTTTATCACAAATTTTATTAGTGTGGCTTGCGAAATTTCCCTTGGTTCAACTCACTGTTGTTGATGTGGTGAAGGTTTGAGTAGCACGTCGCTGCATGAGTTGAGCCGTCAGTGGAATACTCTGAAATTACTGTTTTGGGACCCTGCCTCACTGTTCGTGTCTGGGCAGCAACGAAATTGGTGGTTGTTGCAACAGTAATCGTTTTGGTGTCTGTAGCAGTCTGTGTGACCGTTTGGGTCGCAGCCGAATAATGAAGCAAAGAGCTGCAAGCTTTTGATACGAGGGGCAAGTCAAAGTTCTTGAGAGCCGAAACATAACGCTGGTAGGGTGCACATCCGCTTGATTGCCCGTTAGCAACCCCCGCGAGGGCTGCAACGACGACCGGCGCCCACCCAGCCGCTGTTTGGAAGTGCATTGATGCTTCTGTAGATGGCTTTTTCTGTCCTTTGCACTTGCGTGAATGTTGACATGACAGGAGATGGAGCTCCGGGGTGATTCTCTTCTTTATCATGACTCTTACCATACATGCATATCTAGCGCATGAAGAAGTGTGCCGCCTATTATCGGCCTGTATCGACTTTCTGTACCTTGATGAGTCTAGACTGACACCATCCGATTCAGCTTGTTGCTAGTCGTTCTTCTAGCCCACAGCCTAGTACCTTAAAGCACTCTAGGGGCCAATTATATGCCAATCTTATGAGGCCAGCGGGTTGGGGGCGTTTGAGGCTGACTTTGACTATCTGAGAAGTATTAAGCCTGGACTCTTTACATCTTTGTCCGGCTCTTGGCATGCAGCTGCGTGATGTTAAGGCCACCAGCTGCATCTATGATTTTAATTTCCACAGTGCTTAATATCACTTTCACTCATCACATCAGCCTAACATATCATCCATAAGACTTATGTTTTCTTAGTCGTTGAAGCAAGCGCCGCAGGCACGGCGTAGTGGTTGTTTTTCTGTTAGGTCAAGCGAGTTTATAATGGATCGAATAGCGAGGGAAAATCTCAGTCCTTTTTACAGCTCTCCGGTTGGCGGGAGGCAGCTAGGCCCGTCAGGCATGGCTAAGCGCCTGAAGCAAATTATTTCGATCAGCTCTCCATTACCCTCTACGGGAGGGCGATGGTCGCCATAGTCCTACATCTCCTTACTCTTGTCTCCACATTTGATGAATTGAAAACACAGAACAAAGTCGATGTAGGATGTGAGACAGAGCTTGGAGTTGAAGTTGTGCATGCCAGTAGTGTGGAGTGGTCTGTTGCTTCGCTGTTTCATCGAACGCTTATTGACACATCTCAATCGCTCTAGTCTTAACCCGTGTCTAAACGGAGAGGCTTTGCCGTGAACGTGACCGAAGCTGACTGCCGAACATGTAGAACTTGCCAAATTCAGAAGGTAGCCTCCCAACTCCGCACCTCGGTCGAACAACGACCCGGGCGATCACTTCCCCATCATACAAGACGTAGTCCATATGATTTATCTCCTCACTCCTCCCGATTTACTCAGTCGATGATTGAACGTCCCCAGCTATATCGAAAACAAACACGCCAAAGATGGTCAACAAGATTTGGATTTCATTTCTCTGCCTAGCATCCGTTACTGTCTGCCAGTCGAACACGGACCCCTGGTCTGATACCAACTGGCACAAGTATGTGCGATCGCCAGGTTCCGCAGATGTCAAACCGTTTCGGATTCTAGCAGAGAAAACAGCGGGAAATGTCAGCAATCCTGAGGGCTTGCTTGACGGCAGCCAGACTGCCATCTTCACACGAACTCAAGCCGAAGAAGAGGTTCCTTCGGTCGTAATCGACTTTGGATTAAATGTTGTGGGCTTACTAAGAATCCATATCGAAGGCTCAAGCAGCTCCTCGGACAGCCTTCCAGGTCTGCGGTTGGCTTTTTCGGAAACCGAGGATGCTCTAAGCGACAATAAGAGTGACTACACTCGCTCTTATCGTGGTATCTATGATGTGATGATCTCTTTAACCATGATTAAAGAAAGAGAAATTGCTAATGGCAAAATAGGAAGACAAATTGACAGACGGCACTGACCAGGTATGTCCTTCTATTACTCCAGCCACCCAAAAGCCTAGTCCTATAGACCCTAATGGCATAAAACTTGCAGGTTGCTGTCAAGAATGAGAAATACACCTGGACCAACACTCTAGGATGCGAACATGGCCGTCAGGTCTGTGCAGATGGCCTCCACGGCTTTCGGTACGTAAAGATATGGCTAGATGCTCTCGAGTCCGACTCCCCATACACGTCATCAACTGGGTCAGTCTCTATCTCATTGGTTGATCTTGAGTGGTCTGGATACCTTGGGCCTCCGGACAGCTTCGCCGGATGGTTTGAATGTTCCAACTCAGATATTAGCCAGTGGTGGTTTGACGGAGTGTACACCGTGGAGACTAATATCGACTTGTTTCTTAAAAATGAGACTGAGCCCAGAGATGCATTCAGCCCAACCTTGGACGGCAAATGGGTTCTGCTAGACGGCGCAAAACGCGATCGGGATCCTTATGTTGGCGACCTCGCAATTGCCGCGCTGACTCTTTATCTTTCGCACAATTTCCCTGAGGCGAGTTTCAATGTTCTTGAAGATCTCGCCATTCATCAACGAGATGACGGATGGATCCCTCCAGCTAGCATGTAGGTGAAGGCCAAATGAACCCCTCGTCTGTTTTACTCGCTGACATTAGAGCGTGCGAGCCAGAATCAATTACACACTGCCTCTCTTCGACTACCCCCTATGGTGGGTGGTTTGCAGCGTTGACCTTGTCATGTATACTGGGAATACCAGTTACGCCGAGCACTATTGGGACGTACTGAAGAAAACTCTCGACGAGTTCTATCCCGGGCACACGAATAACGATCTAGGACTTCTGGATAAGTCTGCCTCAATAGGTTATGGCGACTATGCCTTCCTCCCAAGATCCGGCCCAAT